TGTCTCTTTGCGCCAGCTGCGGCCTAAAATTTAAGCCAGGCAGCGCAGTTACCAACTACTTCAAGTTCAGCCTTGCTGGACAGCTCGCGCTGGATGCGCTAGGCCATTGGTGGTTTTTGCTTCCTCTCTTGATCTTTCATTTGTGACTGCAAGGGCCGTGCCTCGAGTGCACCGTGCCCGCTATCCGAGAAAAAGCGGTAGGGGAAGAGAGGAGATACGTAACCGGCAAAACACACGAGAACGAAAGCAAAGAGGACAAAAAATACCATCGTATATCGACGTCAATACACACCTCGGTTTGTGGGGATTGTACCTGTCAATTGATGGGGCATCCTGTTTGAGATTGAGGTCACCCTGAAGACAGTGGACCGGCTGTTTCTTTTTCTTTGATGTGCAGCATTGGACCTGATTTTTTTGCACCACGCTTAAAATGATGCGTTGTGATTGCGGCAGCTCTCGTGTGTCGGATGTTAGCTTTAGCTACTTACAAGTTTGTGAGCAGTTGAAGCAAAGGAAACCATGTTGTGAACGTGTCATGTACTTGTACATAGTTGTTCACATATTGGACCCGGAAGTTCATCTTTGGTCTGTGGCCATTTTGCTTCAAACTTCCCACCTTGGTTTCGTTCTTTCCCACCACCGTCCCCTATGCTCCACCGTTGAGTGGTTGTGGAGGTGGTTCCTTGGGAATTCCCCACCTCGTGTATACCGACTTCTTTACAGACCCCGGTTTGTTGGGATTGTATCTGTCAATTGATGGGGCGTCCTGTTTGAGATTGAGGTCACCCTGAAGACAGTGGACCGGCTGTTTCTTTTTCTTTGATGTGCAGCATTGGACCTGATTTTTTTGCACCACGCTTAAAATGATGCGTTGTGATTGCGGCAGCTCTCGTGTGTTGGATGTTAGCTTTAGCTACTTACAAGTTTGTGAGAAGTTGAAGCAAAGGAAGCCATGTTGTGAACGTGTCATGTACTTGTACATAGTTGTTCACATATTGGACCCGGAAGTTCATCTTTGGTCCGTGGCCATTTTGCTTCAAACTTCCCACCTTGGTTTCGTTCTTTCCCACCACCGTCCCCTATGCTCCACCGTTGAGTGGTTGTGGAGGTGGTTCCTTGGGAATTCCCCACCTCGTGTATACCGACTTCTTTACAGACCCCGGTTTGTTGGGATTGTATCTGTCAATTGATGGGGCGTCCTGTTTGAGATTGAGGTCACCCTGAAGACAGTGGACCGGCTGTTTCTTTTTCTTTGATGTGCAGCATTGGACCTGATTTTTTTGCACCACGCTTAAAATGATGCGTTGTGATTGCGGCAGCTCTCGTGTGTTGGATGTTAGCTTTAGCTACTTACAAGTTTGTGAGAAGTTGAAGCAAAGGAAACCATGTTGTGAACGTGTCATGTACTCGTACATAGTTGTTCACATATTGGACCCGGAAGTTCATCTTTGGTCCGTGGCCATTTTGCTTCAAACTTCCCACCTTGGTTTCGTTCTTTCCCACCACCGTCCCCTATGCTCCACCGTTGAGTGGTTGTGGAGGTGGTTCCTTGGGAATTCCCCACCTCGTGTATACCGACTTCTTTACAGACCCCGGTTTGTTGGGATTGCATCTGTCAATTGATGGGGCGTCCTGTTTGAGATTGAGGTCACCCTGAAGACAGTGGACTGGCTGTTTCTTTTTCTTTGATGTGCAGCATTGGACCTGATTTTTTTGCACCACGCTTAAAATGATGCGTTGTGATTGCGGCAGCTCTCGTGTGTTGGATGTTAGCTTTAGCTACTTACAAGTTTGTGAGAAGTTGAAGCAAAGGAAGCCATGTTGTGAACGTGTCATGTACTTGTACATAGTTGTTCACATATTGGACCCGGAAGTTCATCTTTGGTCCGTGGCCATTTTGGCTTCAAACTTCCACTTGGTTTCGTTCTTCCCCCCACCGTCGCCCCTATGCTCACCGTTGAGTGTTGTGGAAGGTGGTTCCTTGGAATTCCCCACCTCCGTGTATACCTACTTCTTTACAGACCCTGTTGTTGGGATGTTCTGTCATTGATGGGGCTCCTTTTTGAGATTGAGGTCACCCTGAAGACGGACCGCTGTTTTCTTTTTCTTTGATGGCATGCATTGGACCAGATTTTTTGCACCAGACGCTTAAAATGATGCTTGTGATTGCGGCAGCTCTCCTGTTTTGGATGTAGCTTATCTACTTCAAGTTTGGTGGAAGTTGAAGCAAAGGAAGCCAATGTTTGTGAAACGTGTCCTACTCTTGTACATAGTTGTCACATATTGGAACCCCGAAGTCATCTTTGGATCCGTGGCCATTTGCTTCAAACTTCCAACCTTGGTTTCGTTCTTTCCACCAACCGTCCCCTATGCTCCACCGTTGAGTGGTTGTGGAGGTGGTTCCTTGGGAATTCCCCACCTCGTGTATACCGACTTCTTTACAGACCCCGGTTTGTTGGGATTGTATCTGTCAATTGATGGGGCGTCCTGTTTGAGATTGAGGTCACCCTGAAGACAGTGGACCGGCTGTTTCTTTTTCTTTGATGTGCAGCATTGGACCAGATTTTTTTGCACCACGCTTAAAATGATGCGTTGTGATTGCGGCAGCTCTCGTGTGTTGGATGTTAGCTTTAGCTACTTACAAGTTTGTGAGAAGTTGAAGCAAAGGAAGCCATGTTGTGAACGTGTCATGTACTTGTACATAGTTGTTCACATATTGGACCCGGAAGTTCATCTTTGGTCCGTGGCCATTTTGCTTCAAACTTCCCACCTTGGTTTCGTTCTTTCCCACCACCGTCCCCTATGCTCCACCGTTGAGTGGTTGTGGAGGTGGTTCCTTGGGAATTCCCCACCTCGTGTATACCGACTTCTTTACAGACCCTGGTTTGTTGGGATTGTATCTGTCAATTGATGGGGCGTCCTGTTTGAGATTGAGGTCACCCTGAAGACAGTGGACCGGCTGTTTCTTTTTCTTTGATGTGCAGCATTGGACCAGATTTTTTTGCACCACGCTTAAAATGATGCGTTGTGATTGCGGCAGCTCTCCTGTGTTGGATGTTAGCTTTAGCTACTTACAAGTTTGTGAGAAGTTGAAGCAAAGGAAACCATGTTGTGAACGTGTCATGTACTTGTACATAGTTGTTCACATATTGGACCCGGAAGTTCATCTTTGGTCCGTGGCCATTTTGCTTCAAACTTCCCACCTTGGTTTCGTTCTTTCCCACCACCGTCCCCTATGCTCCACCGTTGAGTGGTTGTGGAGGTGGTTCCTTGGGAATTCCCCACCTCGTGTATACCGACTTCTTTACAGACCCCGGTTTGTTGGGATTGTATCTGTCAATTGATGGGGCGCCCTGTTTGAGATTGAGGTCACCCTGAAGACAGTGGACCGGCTGTTTCTTTTTCTTTGATGTGCAGCATTGGACCAGATTTTTTTGCACCACGCTTAAAATGATGCGTTGTGATTGCGGCAGCTCTCGTGTGTTGGATGTTAGCTTTAGCTACTTACAAGTTTGTGAGAAATTGAAGCAAAGGAAACCATGTTGTGAACGTGTCATGTACTTGTACATAGTTGTTCACATATTGGACCCGGAAGTTCATCTTTGGTCCGTGGCCATTTTGCTTCAAACTTCCCACCTTGGTTTCGTTCTTTCCCACCACCGTCCCCTATGCTCCACCGTTGAGTGGTTGTGGAGGTGGTTCCTTGGGAATTCCCCACCTCGTGTATACCGACTTCTTTACAAACCCCGGTTTGTTGGGATTGTATCTGTCAATTGATGGGGCGTCCTGTTTGAGATTGAGGTCACCCTGAAGACAGTGGACCGGCTGTTTCTTTTTCTTTGATGTGCAGCGTTGGACCTGATTTTTTTTGCACCACGCTTAAAATGATGCGTTGTGATTGCGGGAACTCTCGTGTGTTGGATGTCAGCTTTAACTACTTAAGATCTTTTGGGAAGTTGCAGTAACGGAAACCATGTTGTGAACGCGCCAAGTTTCCTCAAGGTTCACCTGAGAATTTCACAGTGGACATGTTGGCTGGTTACTTTGCTGAACACGGGGCGGATGTACATACCTTTACCTGGTTGGCTCGTGTGCCTTCAATAAGCAACATAGTTGACCCGCCTTCAGAGAATGACATCAGTGCAAAGTCTTTCCAACCAGTGGCAATTGTGCTTTTAGAGGCTGTGCATATTCTCATTGAACTTATCACGAGATTAGCAGACGATGGGGAGACAGGCTGCGGGACAAACCACAGTGCAAAAAAACAGAAGCAACGCTGACTTTGGATGCTTGAACGGTTTTGCTGAATAACATTTCATACGGCCAGAACCGATTAATTTCAATTGTTTTGGTTAACAAAACGTAAATCAAGGGGATATGACCAATTTCTTTTTGGAGGGGTTCACGTTTCTTGTTTCCGTGTGAAACGTGTGCAAGTGCGCTTAACAGTTTTGTTGCAAAGCGCAACGAACACGACGCAAACCCATTCATGATCCCTGCTGTTTCGGTCTTCAGCTGCATCAAAGTGACACAGCACATCACGTGGGTCTCGACATCACATGGCAGGCTCCACGAGTGAACCAAGTAAAACATCATTATTAAGTAACCTTTCTTTTATTTGGGAATCATTTTTTTGCATGTTTTCGTCAGGTATGCCAAGGATACGCATTCCAAACTCATGTAATTTGTATTGATTTAATATCCGGCGTTTTTTTTTGCTTAGATATGATATCAAATATGGTTTGATATGATCTGATGTAAAAACTATGTTCAGATATGATTTGATACCATCATATATTATATGCTCTGCTCTGATATCATATGAAATGGTCTGATATGATATGATGTGATTAGATTTAGATTTAGCAGGGTATGATTTGTGAGTATTGTAACTTGATAATTTGCCAAATTGCAGCCAAATCACACGGTGTTTGGATGCAACACAACCATGGAAATAGAGGTTTTTTTGTCAACAAAATCATCAAACAAACCGACTACAACCCATCCCACCCATCCCACAGAATGCGCAATGGCCAACAGGTCTGAGCGAACCTGCCGAGCTTGGTGCTTGCAGTTTCTGGCGGTCCAAACGTGCCAAACTTTGACGCCAGGTCGGATCTTGAGGGAACCGTTGGAATGTCGCGGCGGAAGTGCCAGGACTGTGAGATCGAGTTGATTTTTGGCATTTTTATGCCATGTGCCAATAGAAAGGCCAATGCACCGCCAATGATTTCTTTTATAAATTGAAATAAAACAGCAATGTGAAAATCAATAAGTGGAATCTTGTTGGTTTTAACGACACCGGGCTAAAACCCATACGAGGTATACGGGAATTTGTTGATCAACTGCACACTTGAAACCTACAGCGGAACAAGATCCTGCGGTCAACGCCACAGTGGCATGGCATGTTTCAGGAGAGAAGTTGGGATTTTGCTCGTGAATTGCCGGAATGCCAAGGGTCATGGGGCTGGGTTTAAATCATAAATGAACAAATTGCAAAAGTCGCCTTAACATTACAATTGTTGATATTTTTTGCAAGTCACTGCGGCTACATTTGTCTCGAAAACATAGAATGACGTAAATACTTTGACCCTTTCAACTTGCATTGGGCTGAAATGGGACACCAGTCTGAAACAGCAAATAAACAACATCAACATATCCAAAACATGCTGTTCCAGATTTGTGAGTTTCTTTTTGTGGTGTACAAAGGTTGCTGACATGGATGAAGGACGGTAAAACCTGGACACAATATAAAAAGGGTTTGGATATCCAACAACAACTAGCAAAAATCGATTCCCTCGGCTCTTGGAGGGTTGAGTGATTTTTGATTTTGCCCCTGAATACCCTGGGTGTGTAGAACTGCAGCAAATTGGATAGCAGATCCCTCGTCCTATCATGGGATCAGAAGTGGTCAATACAGAACCATTTTTTTTCATGGATGGACATCCATAAATCCCAGCTATTTGAGTGGGTTTTTCACCAGGGTCCCGTTGGGTCAACCCATAAATCGCTGGTGAATCATCATTTACCCTCTGGTTATTTAACATAGCTATGGAAAATGGCCCATTTATAGATGGTTTACCTATGTTAAATAACCAGATGGTACCCATATCATCTATTCCAGTTGCCTTCCACCACCGTCCATGGCCTTAAAAAGCCAGGCGCTTTTTGAGAGATTCATGTGCTCGCAGCCGGACGGAAGAGATGCAAGCCTTGCGCAGGAGTAGCGAAGAGGTGCAGAAACCGAATCCCGCAAAGTGAGTAAAAAAAAAAGGAAAATAATGAAACAAGTTGGGGAGTAGGCAATTTTCAGGAAAAATCCCACTCTTAGGCTTTGTGTTGTGAGACTTGGATCGGGACTGTTTTTTTTTGGCCGAATGTTGTCAATTGAGGACACGTTGGGCTCACAAAAAACATCAAGCCAGTACAGAAATGAACATCAATTAGCATAATTAGCATAGTGAGCAGCTAATCCATCAACTCCAAAGCTGTCAAATTACAATTCCTGCCCAGGTGACGTTCCAACTCCTTTTAACCCATCTGAGGTAAGGATCCTCATTCCAAGCTGAATTTCCTTGTAGGATCCATGCAGAATGTCCGGTAGCGGAATCCGCAGGTGGAACGCTGTGTGCTTCGACGGCAGCTGGATGAAAGTGCTGTCCTGCAGGAGTGAAGCACCAATTTTCGGAAAACTTTGCGCAGACAGTTGGAAAAGCTCGAGTCTTGTGGAAAGAAATGGTACCTAGATGATCCTAGATGATCCTAGATGTAGTACATTGCTAGTGGTTTCCAAGTCTCAATCTGCAGGACTTTTTGGCAGGCTTACATGAAGACATTGCTTCTCGGCAGCACACGGCCTGGATGCCTGTCATATCTGTCATTCCCTGGGTCGCTGGTAGCCTTTTTAGGGGCCGTCATGTGTTGCAACGTTCTTCCCGGAAGGAGTCGCAACTTGCAGGGCTCCAAGCGCAAGTGACACGGCGCCTCGACTTGCCCTTGGTCTGCAATGGGGGTTGGCCACTTTCGCTTGTCATGTCATGAAGGCAAGATAGACCATTTAATGATCCCTTTTCAAGACCCCTGAAACACCTGGTTCTTACAGTTGTTAAGGTTGGAGGACCGCATCAGCAAGGCTGAAAGTGAGGTGAAGCGCTGGGGTGGGGGATCTAACTGGGATGTAGCCATGACACGACTTGAGAGTTGGAATAGACCAGCCACATTGCTAGATAGGTGGATAGAGATGCATAGAGTAGAGATCGACATTGAGATAGATGCAGAAACATACAGCCACTCAGGCAGGCAGGCAGACAGACAGAGACGATAGATGTGTTTAAACTGGATAGATAGATGTCTCTAGATAGGTGCGTATAGATGCAAGGACTTGTATACGGAGTAAAAGCAACATCTGCTGTGGGGTGCTCAGGGTTTTTTGTTGATGTCTACACGAGCCTGTCATTCTCAGATGGGCGAATGATGACGATATTATAACCTTGATGAAGGTATTGGCTTATTTCTGTCGAACAATACATTATTGTCCATTGGACAGCTGCATTGAAACTCCTTGGGACTTGGAATATCCTGGAATTCAGATTTTGTTTGGGTCCATTTTGGGTCACATTCGCTCTCACCTCCATGATCAATGCGATCAATGCGATTGCGCATTGGACCGCCGCTGTCGAAAAGCGCTGTAGAACTCCCGTATTCTTCGATCATCTTCGACCGCCATGCGCCGTTTCCTCGCTGTGCATTTGTTGCTGGCCGCTGCAGATGCTGCAGATGCTGCAGATGCTGCGAAGGCGGCGCTTCCATTTTGTTCTGATTCAAATCTTCGCACAAAACAACACTCATTCGCTGAGCACTGGTATCCTGAGTCGACGTGGGTCATTTGGTACGGTGCAGAGACCATGAGGTTTGGCAAAAAAACATGCAAAAACCATCGGCCAGATGCAAGAGGCCAAAAAAAGCATCTTCTAGCCATTTGGAAACCATCAGAAGTGTCAAATGTATTCAAAAGTGTCAAGCAGTGCGCAGTGCTAAAACGTCCGACTTTGAACCTTGACAGCTTGGTGGCAGGTGAAGGTGCAACTCTTTGCAGAGGCGGGTTGTCCATTCTGCCGCGCTGCCATCGCTGGTCCGGTGAACCAGACTTTGTCAACTCCCAGTGTGGCTGCCATTATGGACTGGGGTGGGTGGCACCCTGGAAGTCTACTAAGCATTGGGAGATAGGGAGCAAAAAAACGAAGAGGACATATGAGAACATGTGGCTTTTTAGTTTTGGCATGTTTTCGCAAGGTGCTGAAGTGACAGTCAGAACCATGAAGACGCTTCCAGTTTTTGAATCAAGAGTAGAGTGTGACAGTAGGACCACAAGACTTGATGACTCTGGAATGCTGGAATCGGGAATTGCATTCATCCATAAGAGTGAAACAGAAGCGGAGCAGCAGAGCCAATCTTTGGTTCTGCTTGATGACTTTAGACCACTGGTCGCAAGCATGTTGAGAGTGAAGCTTTCAAAACCAAAGGAATGATTGGCTTTGACATTTGACCTGCTGATGATTTGGAAGGGGGTTTTTCAGCAGCACATTTTGATCAGGATTTTGAGTTTTTCCCGTGGGGGAATGCATACTTCGTGACTGCGGAGTGCAAGGGAGCAGGTGAGTATGTCGCTGGAATGCATCGAGATTTGCTGCCCGGGACGGGGAAAAGGGTCGGCTGATAACTCAGAATACAACTTTCAAGGTTGCGCGGCGCCTTTCAGGAGCTTTAGTGGTTTTAGAGCAGTGGGACTAGACGGATCTAGAATCTAGACGGAAGATGTGTTACCTGCGTAGGATGAGTGATGTGGATGAATTGAGTCTGGCATTTGAGCAACTTTTTTTATACTCTCGGTTTCGATATAGAGATTTGCTCAAAACCAGTGTTGCCTCCAACTAGCCTTTGGAGTCTACGAATCCGAGTCGAAACTGGAGCCTTGTGGTGTGAGCCATGTGAGCTGGTTAAGCCACCAAGGATCTGTCTGCGCGAAAGTGTTTCAACCAGCGCTGTGGCTCTGGGGTCTCCGACCGACCCAAGGACGACGCTTTTTGTAGGTCCGACCCAATGGAGATGTGAATTCGTGTCTCTTTTCATTAAAAACAGGCAATGGGTCATACTTTGGCAACTTGAATTGCCTTTTTTTTTTCGATCTTTGCGACTAGTTAGGCAAGCCTCTTGAGTCAAGTAGCCTTTGGACAAGATGCAGGACTGCTTCACAGGGGGCTTGGTGTGCCAGCACGGGCAGATGGAGTGCGAGGTGGGGTCAGACCTGGTCAGACAGCACAAGGTCGGTCACCACCACGAAAAGCAAAACGCCAGGCTGACCGCTACTTGGCATGTGCCAAGTCTTTGGCGGGATCCAACTTCATGCCCTTCACTCACTGCCCGGGACTCCAGGCTCTCCAGGCTCTGAAATGGCTCTCCAGGGTTTCCAGATTCTCCAGCTGAAACTGAGGCGTGGAAGCTGGCTATGACAACTACACCAAGGCCCTCCGGGAATTCATCGGGAGCAGATCTAATGGGATTCGATGGGATCCAATGGGATCCAATGGGACCATTGCTCGCCTCAGTGTGGAGTCGACATTTTGACTGCGAACTGTTGGCATTATTCGAAGAAAAATTCGGAGGCTATTTCAGTGGAAAGTGCATATAGTATCATATAGTCCCTTCCCCCGTTCATATGTTTCACAAGCCATTTTTATTATGGTCTCAGTAAATCCCCCATATGATGGCACCATAGTTTCTGGGGGTTTTAGATCAGGGGTAGGGATTCATCATGAAATTTTCAAATCCCACACGAGGCGTTGGTCACTGCATGCGCTGCATCTAGCGAGATTGACGCTGGAGCACTAGCCCAATGCTGCTTGATGCACGACAGCGCTTGATGGTGGTGGCGATGCAGGTCTTCAAATGATACAGTACAGTACCCCATATAGATCCATATAGTATATGTAGTAATTATATACTATGTACTTTTCTGTGGACTTCATGTGTCACAGAAAATTCTCATGAACTGTTCACGAAAGCTAGCGTCAGCTAGCTGGAGTCTTCTTGCTTTAGCAAGTATTGGGGGGGCTGCTCAAGGACATCACGTGATTTTTCACGCGAAAGGCCCCCCCCCTCCCCCACCACCACCACCACCATCACCACCATCATCATCATCATCATCATCATCATCGTCATCGTCATCGTCATCATCATCGTCATCATCATCGTCATCATCATCGTCATCGTCCTCTCCATCGTCCTCGTCCTCGTCCGCGTCCTCGTCATCATCATCATCATCATCATCATCATCATCATCATCGTCGTCGTCCTCGTCATCGTCCTCGTCATCGTCATCGTCATCGTCATCATAATCGTCATCATCATCATCATCATCATCATCAGCATCATCATCATCATCATCATCATCATCATCATCACATCATCATCTCATCCATCATCGTCATCATCATCATCATCATCATCTCTCATCATCATCATCATCATCATCATCATCCATCATCATCATCATCATCATTCATCATTCATCATTCAGCATTCATCATTCATCATTCATCATTCATCATTCATCATCATCATCATCATTCATCATTCATCATTCATCATTCATCATTCATCATTCATCATTCATCATTCATCATTCATCATTCATCATCCATCATCCATCATCATCATCATCATCATCGTTATTCAATTACATTTTATCATTATTGGCAATTATTGTCATTATCACGAAAGCTAGCGTCAGCTCGCTAGAGTCTTCTTGCTTTAGCACGTATTCCGGGGCTCCCCAAGGACATCACGTGATTTTTCCCGCGAAAGAGCCCCCCCCTGCCCCCTCCCCCATATATATCATTGTTATATATCATATATCAATATATTATTGTTGCATCCTCGTTGGGACGAACAATGCCGCGACACGATGATGACAGTCCCTCCGCAACTCACCTCTTCCCTTCCTTCTTTCTCCTACCCCGCTAGCTTTCGTCATCCACCCCCGGCCTCAAGTTTAACATCCCATGGATTTTCTAGATGATTTTAAAATGAAAAAAATGGAGGTACCTCCCATATCATCAAACCTGACCTCGTTGTTTCGAAAGCCAGGCTTCAGTGGGAAGGACGGTGATCATGCCGTGATCGCCCAAGCCATGTCCACGCCGGAACACCCAGGTGGGGAAACTGGGTTCAGTGGAAATCCACTGGGAAAAAGATGAAACATGCTGAAAAAACTGATGGGAAAACATGATTTGATGTTTGGAAAAACTGATTTGATGGGAACAGCTTGCAGCAGTATGAAATACAAGGGAACTTCGCAGCAGTATTTCATCCTTGCCCTCTTTGCATGTCTGTATCCGTCGTTCTGTGGCTCACAGTAAATGCATAGAGTTGTAGTCCTTTCGACTCGCCTTTCGACCACCACTTTCCTGTTAGTTGGAGGCCTTCTGCCGAGGCTCTGTTGCAGACAGGGATAAACACAGCTTCTTTCCATCGTAGCGTGGAGAACTGCTGAAGCGTGTCCAAGGAAACAAAGCAGCAATGGGTTGTGCTGCCGGAATGGAGAAGCACCTGGAAAGTGAAGCAACTGAAGCCTGGCAGACGAATCAGACAATGCCTTGCCGGGGGGATGCTATGACGATCCCAAAAAGCAGCATGACATTTTCACCTCCTCCCCCAGAATCCCGATGAGATCATCCCCAGGAGATGGACTTATCGAGACATGGAGATGGAAGCACGTGGCAAGAGGAGATGGGAGAACTGCCATGGCTCAGCAGCAGAAACATCCAGAAACCAGATCTCTAAGTTCTTGATTCTGTGCGCTATACAGGCACATTGGCCTTCGACCCTATCATCCCTATCATCCCTATCTAATCTATCTGACATCTGTTTGTATCTTTCTATATCCAACCATATCTGTTCAAATCCATTAATGTCATGTCCATGTATATCGATGTATGATGCATCTGTCTATCTATCCACCTAGATCCGAGGACAAGCCGGACCACCGAATCGTAGACTCCATGAGAAGCACCTGAAAAAGCTCACGCTATTCCTTCAGCATCTCGAAAAAACCAAAGTCCTGGCAGTTTTTTCAGAAATTCTGAAGAGATTCGTATGTCCTTGTGATTGTGATTCGTATGATTCGGGCTTGTCTGAAATTTGGCCCCCTTAAATCTCCTGGTGAATCAACAATCATCGTTTCCGCTATCAATACATTGAATACATATCAATACATATCATTACCGGCAACTTTTTTTGGGGGTATGCAGGTATGCATCATTTTTAGACAGCCATTTCCTCTGAGGCAGGTGGATGACAAGCCCTGGGCCTTCTCGGAAGACTTGCAGAAGCGACGTGGGGTGAATGACAAGGAGCTGGAGCAGTGTGTGTTTTCATTTTGGGAGACCATCTCCACATGTGAACACAGAACACATCCACAGCTCATTGGGAAGAGTAGAGGCATTTTTTGAGGCCTTGCTTAGAAAATGCCTACACTCTTTTCGATCTGCTATTGAAAGCATTTTTAGTGGGGTGCAGCATTGGCACCCCGATACCAACTCTGGCCTTCTGAGGACATTGAGATTTGCGTCAGACTCTGAACTCTTTAAGTCACAGGGCTGCAACCCGATCTGAGCCGACTCCAACTGAGCAGCCACAGATCGAAAGCGTTGTAAGCCTTGTGAAAGCCTTGTGAATTGAAAGAGGATGTGAATCCCTTGGCAGTTTGAGAACTGGAGGTTCTTGCTGGTGTAGTGCCTGAAGAGTTATCCAGGGAAATGATACTGCAAAAGATGCCTTGGTGCATATACTGTAACAGGCGTCTTCAAGTAAGGAGCCAAGAATCTTCATCAACAGTGGACTATTCTGGAGGATTTCCGCATTTGAAATGACTTTTCGGACACCGCACACAGGTAGACTGCTTATTCAGCAACTGCATGCAATGCAGATGCTCGTCAATGTCTGGCGTCGCACCAAGCTACTTCTTCGATCATCTTGAATAAGCTCAAATCCTCTCATCAACGAAATTAGACCCAATGAATGGTCTGTTTTATGGATCCCCTGAAGAATAGATTGCCAGATTCTTCATCTCAATTCGAAGATTGGACTTGTATTCAATGGCCATTCCAGGATCCTAAATTGGAGGTACCTACCATATATAAGGCCTATTTTTTAGGCCTATGTAAGGGGATATCCCCAGAAAATATGGCCTAAAAAATGGTACTAGCGTACCTCCATTTTAGGATCCTGAAATTCCCATTGATGTATTGAGTATTTCTGTGTGGTATCTCGGTATTTCACCATGTACACAACATGTCATGTTGCTTATGGCTAAGAGCTGCAAGTAGCTGTAGCCCCTGTGGCACAAGCCTGGTGGAGGTATTCCGTTCTGCACTGGCCATTTCTGAAAGAGCTCCAGGTCAGAACAAAATTCAAACTAAGATAAACTAACATAATTAGCTTCAAAGCCACGTGCGCCAGCCAGTCGCTCTCCAGTGCCGACGTTCAATGACACTTGTTTCTGAGCGACAATTGAATGCAGCAATCATAAGCAGACGATTTCGGAAACGCCTCTCTGAGCATCGGGACAAAAACCGTCATTTCGAGTCGTCATTTCGAGTCGTCAAAGAGTCGTCTCTAATGGGGGTTTTGAATGTTCCCCCATTTCCAGCGCTTGGTTCTGGATAGGCCTGCCATCAAAGCACTCCACCGCAATTCAGGATGGAGTGAGCCACTGCTTCTGCCTTTCTGTTCGAAGCTTGACAGCTGTGCAGCATGTGTAAAGCTGATGTAGTCTGCATCAATTGACTGCGACTCGAAATCCGAATTTCCGATCAGAAAGGCAGATCAGGTTGTAGCGTGGCTTCCCAGAGACCAGACCATGCCATCCATGCCACTTGTGAGTAGTGGCAAAAACCCACATGGCAAAAACCCACAGGATTTATCATCATGATCAGCCGATTCCCTCAAGCAATGATCAAGATTCCCCAGCCGCAATGGAATATAATCAGCCATGACTGTCCACGGCTCATGATTTCAACTCACTTTGCTCCTGCTCACCTGGCTCCCCTGCGATCCTTGGGCCCTTTTTTCCAGATATGGGGGTTTCCATAAATGTAGGTACCCCAATAGCTGGATGATTTTGGTTATGGAAAATCTCACTCAAACTGATGATGAAACCTCCATATCTTGAAGTTGTGCAGCTTGAAGCGTCATCTGCACAACCGAAATGACAGAGATCTTTATTGTGGCCTCGACACGCCAAAAATGGAGGTGGCCTTGCCATGTTCTTCTCTGACAACTATGATATATACGGGCTACATTACATATGTCATATATGTAACGGAATATATATATATAGAGTATATTATATAACGTAAGTATATATACTTATATAATTAGGTAAGTAAGATATGTAGATATGTAATGATATATGTAGTATGTAAATGTAGTAGATATGTAGTATATGTCATATTGGTATTGTTTGTTAGTATCATTAATATTCCATAAAACTCTACATAATCTTTATGAAACGGATGCTTTTCGACTTGCTTCAACAGTGAGACCCCAACTTCGGACTGCGGTGCCTCACACCCTGACCACAGGAAAACTCTCCAGTTGTAGTTTGCTTCGTTGAAAAGGCTCCAGCGCAAAAAACAGATGGCTATGGTGGCTAGTGAGTGCAGCCAATGCGGCTAGTGCGGCAGTGCTGTGTTGGTGCACGTACTGTATTTTGAATTAACCCAAGTCACCATAAATAGGTGGTATAAACATGTATAAACCATTCCCAAATAGGTGGTTTATTATTGTTTTACCCACATTACCCATTTGAAGTGACATGTAAGTGGACGTAGTTTCCTGATGTACTTTCTTCCCAAGGAGAAAGGGGACTTACTTCCTGATGCAAGTGCTGAAGGGCCATGTAAACATAGCCGTCAATCGGTTTCTCACATATTGCCCGGAACTGAGTCCAGAGACTCTAAACAGATTGAGCCATGATAATTATATTGAGCAGTCATTTCAGATTGTCATGTAAAACCTGAATCCAAACTTCACGAGTCGCATGGGTGCTGGCTGCCGCGTTGCGGGTAGGCGTTCCTTACATCCTGGTTAATGGGAAGGCGGTGGAGCAACCGAATGATTTGTTGAAAGAGGCGTGCATGGCTGAAATTCTGTTTTGACATGTTGTTTTGATGCGCAAAATGTACCCTCTGGTAAATTAACATAGACCCTGGCAGATAGGGTTTGGAAGACTAGTTTCCACTATAAATTGGTCATTTTCAGGGTCTATGTTAATTTACCAGAGGGTATCAAAATGTTGAAACCAAGCAGAGACAAAAAAAGGTCCCCTGTGGGGAGCTTTCACAATGAAAGGGATTGGTGTGATGGTTGCCTTTTCCAATTCAATTTCTCAATGCAGTGGCCTTCGACCTTAATAGTCCTTGAAGGGATCAGGGTATCTCTAGAATCTTGAAACACATCCAAAAAACATGAAGAGAGTTGGTTGACAAAAATAGCTCATTTTTCATCGTTTTCCCAATTCTTTAGTATTCTTTGCCATACATTTAAGGCGTTAGTCGTAATTAGTCCATGTAAGTCCCTGGACCCGCGAGGTGTGCAAAGCCTACAAGGGTGAGGTGCCCAAAGCCTGCCATGGACTGATGGAGAGCGTTGCCGCGGGATCCATGGTGTTCTATGCGTAGCCATCTTCCGGGCGCCTGCGGATGCCGCCGCGTGTCACCGAGTCACCCGAAGTCTTTGAACGTTGAGTGGTGACATCTGGAAGGTCCAACTCTGTCCATCTCCTTGACCCCAGAAGAACGCCAGAAGCATTTCGTTTACGAGGTGAAGCACTCTTGCCAGACATTCGATTGTTTTTGTTAGGTTTTGTTAAAACTCAGGAGATGCAGCTGATGGTGCAAATCAGCAAAGTAGCGTTAGCACTCTGGCGAAGAAAGTGCTGCGCTGACGACTGGACCTATGCTTTACTTTGTTCGATAGTCGCCCTGTTGTCGCCGACAGTTTCGTTCTTTTATTTTCTAGTTCTATACATAGTTAAGCCTAGTTTATGTTAGTTCTATATTTTATTTGTAGTCAGTTCTATATGATATATATATATACATATTGATTGTACATGTGTTGTTTGGTCGAAATAGCCTTCCGGTTGTTCAGAGTCTATTGCTTGCCATCCTCGCGCAGGGCACGCGAGTGACCCTGGGGGCTGCTGTCACGGTGGAAGTGCAACGGGCCGTCTCCGAGGCTCACCGTTGACGGTGGCTTCGAAGGTGTCACAACCTGCAGGATGTATGCCTACCATAAGCCACAGGTTGTAGCCTTCAGAAACTGATAAATAAATATAAATAGCTCAGATCTTGGAAGCGGAATGTTCAAATTCTTCTGGCAAGGATGCTAAGAGGGTATCTCACAAAGTCACAAAAGCTTGGTACCGTCCTTGGAGGCTTTCTTACAAGTTGAGCGGAGTGCGGAAGCTGCTGTAGCACGGAGGCAGTTGGGAACTCTCAGCTGATGGTTTCACAGATGTGGCCGGTAGTCATCAGACTTGAGAGTAAACAACTACTGATACAAATTATATAGGCCGTTGCGCAGAATCTGATACAATCCGCCCAGTGTTTTCGTATGCCCTGGTGTTTGCAACCGCAGTGAAAATGACCTCAGTTTCTGGCTTTATGGTTCAAGTCCCCCAGGTGAATTTCGAGCCTTTTCTTGTTGGGGTTTTGTCCGCAGTGAACTCCCACACGACAGGTCGGATCAACCTGAAAGTGGCCCTGGGCCCGGGCTGCCCTCTGGGGGAGCTCGAAGAAGGGCTTCTGACCGTTCCGACTCGAGACGCTCAGGAGCGGGACGTGATAGAAATGCCACTGGATTTCCAGCACTGCTAAGCCTTCCCATCTATATGGATGCACTTCAAGTGTTGCGCGCGAATGTCATCCATGGCCTATGGGATCCTAAGACAAAACTGGCAATTCACTGTGTGGATCCATCCGGTGGTGTTGAATAAGAAGGGCTTTGGCAGTCAAGTGAAGTCAGTCAAGTCCTTTCTAATTTCTTGGAATTATCTGGGGATGGGTCAAAACCTTGTACCCCTGTAGCTCACATCAAAATAGCTGGGATTTATGGATGTTCATCCCACTAAAAATGGTATGTATAGGTATTGATCCATACCCATCTCACAAAGATGCACTTGCAGCTACTATTTTTGTTATTGCCGTGCAACGGAATCGCCTCCGCTTGAGAGCAGCATCTTGGCAGAGGAAGTCCTGAAGACGATACCCTGGACAGTGCGGAGGACCGTTCTTGGTTTGGTGCCTTACTGCTTAGCATGCCAACAATTTTATTCCGTGAAAAGAAGCATAGACAGCATAGACATTCTGTGTTTCTGATACAAAATGCGAGTTCTTCAAAGACCTCCGTCTTTTGTGCTCGAGTGATTACTCTGCATAGAGGCCTTATGGTGCGGTGTACTAGTTTAATCTAGTTTTCAAAAGGCAATCTACCCTCTGGTAAACTAACATAGCTATTGAAAATGACCATTTATAGTGGATTTTCCCATTAATCATGGTGATTTTCCATAGCTACGTTAAATTACCAGAGGGTAACAAAAGTATACAAAAGTGATTAAGAAAGACATCGAAAAGGAGCTCCAGGAGAGACGTTGACAATGTCGAAGGTTTGCTGCACGCAGAGAGAAGCCTGCTAGACTTGCAGTGGCAGGAAGAACCATCGGGCTTGGACTGGAGGCATGGTTTTGCACGCTGCCAGGGTTACAAATTGCCTGGGATTGTTGCTGGATTGATATGGTTTACCAACCCCGTTTCGCTGCACCATCGACGTAGAAGTCATTAATTTAATCATTCCGCTTGCCCGGCAAGAATCGTTCTGTGACCTTTGCAGAATCCGAAATCCCCATTTTCATATATTTTCACCGGATTATTCAAGCTGGTAAACCCATGTAAAAACGATCCCCTAGTTTTGGAACATGGCCGTTGTTCCTGGCGAGGCTCCAGCGTTTGGCTCTGAAGTTGGTGGCGGCTGGGGAAGAAAGCGCTCGGGCCGTGGCCAGTGAGGCCGGTGATTATCGCCGACTGACCCGAAAGCTGGGGATGCTGGAGTTATAACTGACCAATTGATCCAATTGGGCACCAAATCTCACAGGGCCATCACTGCCCAACTGGCCCGGAATATCGGAAGAATCCTACTGGATACAGCGGCTGCTTGGTTTCACCCCAATGCCAACCATGGACTCCCAGGGTCTCTGCCAGCATGTTTTCCATGCCTTTCCATGCCATGTGGTCTCTGCCTGTTTTCCATGCCTGTTTTCCATGTGGCCAGGTGGCAGTGGCAGTGGCAAATGCCACCATGCCTCAGCTGGAAGAACGTCTCATGGAGGAAGCCCAGCGACAGAATGAGGCGGTGGAGATGGCTCGAGAAGCAGCTATGCTCGAGGTGCAACCAAGTTGACCCTGCTGGAAATAGGGGGATTAACATGACGCAACATGATTGAACCATCAAGAAAACGGGGGACAAAGTTGATAAATGATGCTTGCTTGATGGTTACAATATGTTACAATGGTTGATGAGTTCTGAAATTGGGAGTTTTGACAAGCACCATCAAAAATGGTTGAATCAAACAGGTACCATTGGTTGATGGTTGATGGTTGTTTTGAATGACCATTTTGAACGCACCTCTTCTGTTGACTTTTCTCTCATCCATGGCAGGCTGAGGTGGTGAAACGTGCTGTCTCACGAGCTGAGGCCGGGCCGGAATCACGGCAACATGTTTTCCGCACGAAATGGAGCTTTAGTTCGCTCGGAAAATCATCTCTAAGATATTATAAGATTGTAAAATATGATGAAAAGATGGATGTTTTTACTTGCCCTCTTTGATTTACCAGAGGCTATTGACGGAACATGACTGATTGTTTTTGAACTGATGACAGAGGGGCAGAAATTGGAGAGCAATTTCATGAACCCAGAAATGAGCCCTTTGATTCTTTTCTGGATCACACTAATTTATGGTTATGAAGCGAAAGTGCAGTGAATTTCAGCATGCGGGAAGTCAACTTGCGGATCTTGGGTCACACCAGCATCTTTTCTCCAAGAAAACCATGGGAAAAGCCTTTGAAAAGCCATGGGAAAATGGATCCATGGCATCGGAATCCCACGGAATCCTATGGAATCCGACCGACCTGGGGTGACCTAGTGACCTAGTGACCTGGCTTCTGCGGAGGCGGCCTCCGCAGATGTGCAGCTGCTGAAGCCGGAAGTGGCCGAAAGGTTGAAGGAGTTGGAAGACCAACTGCTTGAGGCGTCAAAACTCCTCCATTTTTCGGGGGTATTTGTGGTGAGCAAAATGGCTAGATCTGGGTAGATGGATCTTCATCCACCCAAAGATGGTTTGGGCTTGACCCCTCATGTATTTCCACGTCCTTCACAGTTTCGTGAGGTGAGGGATGCAGCGAAGCAGCAGCTTTACAGCGAGTTTCGGGAGGTGGGATCAGGCTTCATGGCCAGGGCCTTCATGTGGGGATTGGTTAAAATAGCTGCAATATCTGGATAAGGACCTTCATCTCCCAAAATAAGTTTTGGAGACTAGGGCAACGTTGGGCTTAATCCACTTTTTGATGGATTATCAGGACTATCAGTGTTTTTGCCAGTATTTACATAAGTGAACTCAAGCGGGTATTCCCCGTTCTTGGCCGTTTCTTCTTAGCTTCAACATGACACACACACACACATATCTATATTATATATGTATAATACGTATATATATATATATACATATATATATATATATACAATAATATATATATAATATACAATAATATATATATATATATGTGGTTTTAATAATATATATATATAATATAGTAAATATAATATAATATAATATAATATAATACAATATAATATAATATAATAAAAAATATATATGATATAATATATAGTATATATTATATAAAATAATATATATATATATATAATATCATATATATATAATATCATATATATATACATATTATAATATATAAGAAATATAATATATATATATATAAAATATGTTATATATATGATATATATATATATACAATATATACAATATATATAATATATGATATATATATATGTATGATATGTATATATATGTATGTAATGTAATGTAATGTAATGTAATGTAATGTAATGTAATGTAATGTAATGTAATGTAATGTAATGTAATGTATGTATGTATGTAATGTATGTACGCATGGATGTATGTATGTATGCATGCATGCTGTGTATATGTGTATATGTGTATATGTGTATATGTGTATATATGTATATGTGTATATGTATATGTAAATGTAAATGTAAATGTATCCCAGAATCCCTACCTGAAAGGCCCGTGAAGAAAGCCGAAAGGAGGACAAACTTGTGGATGCTGACCTTGCTGGAACTGGAGACAATGGGATACAATAATTGGACAATCACCACAAAATATGAGCAAACCCAGTAGTTTGAACCACTATTCAGACTATATGTTTGTCAAGAAATTACATTAATATTATATTTATGTAGGTTTCAACCGGTTGGCCACTTTTGGTCGACGGAGTTCTTGCCTCCCAGGAGAGGCACAGTGCTGAGCTGCACCAAGCTGCTCTAGGCGTGACGTGACCAACTGGCGCGTACAAAATCCACTTCATCCAGATACGAATCGTATTACCCTCTGGTAAACATACAAAAAAATATGGAAAATCACCATTTTTCATGGGTAAATCAACTATAAATGGCCATTTTCCATAGTTATGTTAACTTACCAGAGGGTACTTCGGACTGATGGTTATACCATCTGCTACCATCACTATTAATTCCTTTTGTTTACGTCAGTGTATTGCTGTTCAGTCGTGAACTGCTACGAATAGTACCATCACAGCCATGATTTCATTTCTGTTGTGAGGCCGTTTAGAGGAGTCCTTGCGGGAGGCGTTGTCAAGGCATTACTCGGAGGCAACCGTGCAGGGATTCTGCCGAACCCTGAACCGCGATCTATGGCAGCTATGGCATACACCAGCAGAGCATGGCAATTTTCGATGGCACGGACGTGGACTGAGAATCTGCCTGGAGTCAACAGCTGGTAGTTGAGAATAAATAGGTTACGTCGTGTCTGCAGGATTAGTGGCTCGCGTTGTCGAGGAATGATGCTGAAGAACCATGACTTGTGCCATGAATTCTACTTGATTTGTAATTACATCATGTTTGGTTTCATGATTGGAATCCTGAGCCTTCAACATCTCTTGAGCCTCTGTCAGGCATCTTCCGTCATTTTCTCTCTTTTTTTTCAATTGTCACCACGGTGGCCAAGTCAGCCGGCCATGCGCCCGCTAAACCTGCACCAAGCGGTGAGACGCGCGCGATGGGGTGGCTGGCGCAGCTTCAGCGTCGAGCGGATGGGAACCTGTGCAGAGCTGGGCTGTGGCCCAAATGCCCTGTCAGGACATTCCAAGTCCGGGGACGTTCTGGGATTGACCAATGAGAAGAAGACATTGCTGGGGGACATCAAGCCTCCAATTTCAATTCCTGGCGATGACTTTGCTACGAACTTGCAGTCTGCCGAGCACATGTTGCTAGTTTAGCTTTATATACTGTTCTTTTTTCACCTGCCTAGCCTTAAAGATTGAGGTCCAAGCCGGACCCTCTTCTTTGGAATATCATGCCCTGACAATGTCCACAAGGGTGTGTCTGAAAATACCTTTCAGTTATGACAGTTTCAAGAGGGAAAAGCTGGGTATGATGTTTTGATATGTTTTGCAGTTGATGGAATGGAGTTCCCTAGTTCGCCAGATAGCAAAGCTATTGGAGGTTCTTACTTCAAGTATAGGAGGAGTGGCATGTCTGCGTTTTGGAGCGGGCATGTTGGTGCTGCTGCAGGGTGCTGCTGCAGGGTATTGGTGTCAGAATGCGGTGTGCGCTATGAAGCTGGGGGGTGGCTGCGGGATGTCTATGGCAGTGTGCGCTTGGGCGTCGCCAAAAAATATCTTTTGCTATCTGGGGCCTATGCGATATAGACACACACACACAAATACACTCTGGTAATAAAACGTGGTACTTGGCCCTACAAATGGAGGTTTATAGCTTGGAAAATCAACTATAATCGGGAGATTTTCCATAGCTATGTTAAATTACCAGAGGGTAGCAACAATTTTAAAACGTCCCAAAAAGCCAGGTTGCAGCAGGGCCGTTTTGGAGAAGCTTGGGGCTTCAGCACTCGGGCCTTGTTGGTGCATTCCTCTGGCCGCGGGCGACGGATCAAGGTTTGGGAACGGGCCTTATGCTACCTGGTCCGAGCGGAGGCGGGCTGTGGCTGCCATGGCTGGGACCGGGAAGAAAATTGAAACCCATTGAGGCCTGATAAAAGGTAGATCGACATCAACACACGATCAACACATCAGCATACGATATCCCACTTGTATCCACTTGTTCACCATAGCTTCTTATTGGCTTATAGTTCCTTGCAGCTTCTTAGCAACCATAGCCATAGACAAAGTTGAGTTTGTCGGAAACTTGGGTATCCCTAGATCCACTAGTCATCATTTCATCATCAAAGGAAATTGGGAAGCAATCTTCCGAGTTGCAGATGACTTTATTGGTGGCTTTGTGAAGTGGCTTGACTTGGGGAAGTCAATTGTGGTACAAAGTAGTACTGGAAAGGATTTTTTTGCAAGTCTTATTCGCAGTACTGGGAAGTGTTTCGTGCAAGCTTTGTAGTACAAAGTAGTACTGGGAGGTGATCTGTGTAAGCTTTGTAGTAGAAGTGCTTTGCGCAAGGTTGCAGTAGAAAGTAGTACTGGGAAGTGCTTTGAGCAAGGCTTGTAGTACAAAGTTGTACAGGGAAGTATTTTGTGGATTCTGTTGCCATTCTGTGCGTGCAAGAGTCTCTGTGCAAAAGCTTCGGTCTGTAAAAGCTTCTGCGTGTGTAACAGCTTCTCTGTGTAAAAGGTTCCGATGTGTAAAAGCTTTCTGTTGAGATGAGTTAAGAAGAGCTTCGATGAGATGAGAAGGGTTGAGCAGTCCTTAGATGAGATGAAAATAGTTGAGAAGAACTTAGATGACATATGAGAAGAGATGAGATGAGACGAGAAGAGATTGGCTGAGACGAGGTGAGAAAAGCTCAGACGAGATGAGATGAGGTGAAGTGTGGAGTGTGAAGTGTGGAGTTTTAAGTGTGAAATTTGGAACAGTGCACCAGTTTCGACAAAGCACGACTGGCCTGGCTGGTGCACTGCGCATGCAGGTTCTATAAATGAAAAAGGTCTTATAGTACAACCCGAAGGCAACTTCCGCCCTGCCTCGTACGGGTAGTACTGCTACTTCATCTATATACTGTAAAACTTGGAATTGTTGGGGTAATGTGATTAAAATAATACACCATCCATTTGGGAATGGTTTAAAGTACCTATAAAAACGCTGAATTCTGAGGATGGTTTATTGCTTTACCATGATGACGCTGGCGCCAGGCCCTATTGGACATGGATGCGCCGAGGCGTGCGTTGACAGAGCTGCATCCGGCCAAAGAGCTGTTACAGCGAGGTCGTGAGGGTTGGCCGTTGGAGGTGTTGAAACGAAACTTGGCGAAAAAAAGTGGAATTCAATGGATACCCTCTGGTAATTTAACATAGCTATTGAAAATGGTGATTTATAGTGGATTTACCCATTGAAATGGGGATTTTCCATAGTTATGTTAGTTTACCAGAGGGTAGATTTAAGGGAAAATGCACAGGAACCCCCCATATGTAGTGGGAACATCTATGGTTTGTAACAATTTCCCTTAAACCAATCCATTGATTGATCATATTTGGAGGTTTCCTGAAATGGGGGTACCCCTAAATCATCCATTAAATAATGGGACTTTCCATTGTAATCCATCCAGCCTTGGGGGGTACCACCATTTATGGGAACACCCATTTGATGAGATTTGATAAGATTTGAGAATATTTGAGAATCCAAAATGTACAATCAGATTTGTATGAACTATTCGGTGGATGTTGATGATCTATTGACCCGCGCATAGCTGCGCTTTTTGGTTCGTGCTGACCCATGTGGCTCGCACAAACCAGAATCCTGGCAGCACGCGGGCACTTTGTGATCGACCGAGTGATCGGTGCGGCTCGCGGCGAGTTTTCATATGTCTTCATTTGTTGAAAAATGGTGGGCCGATAAACAGAAGTGCTCTTGTGACACTGGGAGTAATTTTGGTTGGAATGTCGTTCCCAGACGTTCCCAGGAGTCCCATGTGAGTCATTTGAGTCATCATGTTACTGCCTTGTTACCATGCTCCGAGGCATTGAAGAGGCTGATGCTCGTTTCCATTTGAAGAAAGTTGAAAACGACGAGCGCCGCAGTCAGCGTGAGAATGCCAAAGTCCCCGTCACTGTGATCACTGGCTTTTTGGGCAGTGGCAAGACGACGTTACTGAACCGGATCTTGCAAGAGCAACATGGCAAGCGTCTTGCTGTCATTGAAAACGAATTTGGTGAAGTTGGAATTGAAACTTAGATTTCTTAGATGTCAAAATTGAAGTTTTCCTATGATTTTCCACTCATGTTTGGATATTAGTGCAGCTTTTTGTACGTTTCTAGTCACATTTGAATATCAGCGCAGCTTTATTTTTTTCCTACTCACGTTCGGATGTCAATGCAGCTTTTCCTGTTTTTCTGCTGGCATGGGATGCTAATGGAGCCTTTCCTAGGTTTTTCTATTATCCTTGGGATATGAATGCAATTTTTCGTATGTTTTTCTACTCACATTGGATGCTGACGCAGTTTTTCTGCTGTTTTTCTACGTCCGTTTGGATGCTATGTTTAGATGCTGCGCCAGGACTCCACTCTGGTAGAACAAGCGGAGAGGACCACAGAGACCGTCGTGGAGATGAATAACGGATGCATTTGTTGCACTTTACGTGGAGATTTTATCGAAGGCATGCAGAAAGTGCTGAAAGATGTGCGTGCGCGAGGCAGTCACCTTGATGGCGTGTTGATAGAGACGACTGGTTTGGCGGATCCTTCCCCGATTGCCTCCACCTTCTTTTTGGACCCGTTTATGCAAGAAAACTATCGCTTGGATTCTATCCTGGGAGTCTGTGATGCCAAACACCTAATGTCCCAGCTCAGCGAAGTGAGAGCGAAATCATGCGTCAACGAAGCCTCCGAACAAGTTGCCTTCTCCGATCGTTTGCTGTTGACGAAGACGGATCTGTGCACGGAGATGGAGATTCGAGGAGTTGTAGAGCATTTGAGACATTTAAATCCCTTTGCAAAGGTCTTGCCAATGAATTTGAAGGATTTGGAGCAACCAATTCCAGTAGACCAGTTGTGTGACTTGCCAATCGCTAGCAAGCTGTTTCGATTTGAGTTTTATTTTCACTTTTCAGGGGGCATTGACAAAAGGACCCCCCTCAGTTATAAACTGGTTGATAATCCCACGAACTATAGATATACCATAAGTCCTAGTTGTTAGGCTTATAAACCAACATAAACCAACTATACCATAAGTCCCAGTTAGACTTATAAGCCAACTTAGCTATCTATGTCCGAGGCACCAGCTTTCTATGTATCAGTTGAGGTGATGTCCGGGCTTTTTCTCTGGATAAGGCTCTGGAGTTTGATGCCACCTTCTTGGAGGATGATGATCATATGCATGACTCAGCCATCCAGGCTCTAGGGGTGAAACTTCATGGTGCACTGAGTCAGGAGAAACTCAATCACTTCTTTGGAGAGGTCTTGTACTTTGGACATTGTTTTTATTGTTTTTATTGAAATTTTATGGTTTTTATCTTTTTTTTAATTACTGTTTTCATTGTTTTCATTGCTTTGGATTCCATCCTCCTTACCGAAAGTATGTGGTAATTCTGCAAAGTCTGACGGATTTCAGCCGTAGTCCGTAGTCAGAACTTAACCTTCTGACATCACGCTGGATGGATCTCTGTTTTGATGTTGAGATTGGCAAGGAGCGTAGATCCGTAGATGTGCGACATCGAATGTCGCATTTTCCCCTCGTTTTTCTGTGGAAGTTGGTGTTATGATCCCAGGAAGCGGTATCCGAAGGAAATGTACCGAATGAAGGGCATCCTCGATGTGAAAGGCATTGACGAGCGCTACGTTTTCCACGCTGTGAACTGTCATTTTGGCGGAACTCCTCAGGGTCATTTTGAGGAAGCCCGAGAAAGCAAGGCAGTTTTCATCGGCAAAGGTATTGACCATGTTTGGCTGATTGAGCGCCTGAGAGATTGTTTCACAGATCCCAAATCTGGAGTCTTGGAGAGCAACGTAAAAGCTGCTCATGCGTAGTCTCGTCATCTCGTCATAGTCTCGTCATCTCGTCACCATCCGTTCCGAGTCAACGTGCTTGAGGGGTGTTTTTTGAAAACTGTAGTCATTCTGTAGTTATGTTGAGTCACTTTAGACAATGTTTAATCCTGTTGAAGTGGCTCAGGGGCTGATCCATTCTGCCCATGACCTGCCCAATTGGAATCAGAGCGAAAAATGCGAAAACGCCGAGCTCCAGGGGTGTCGCCGTTAGGGGGGTCTGAAAATTCACGGAGAACACCACAGAAATTCACTGAGTTTTGGCCATTAAATCAACAATGGCCATCAGTTGTTGGTTTCTTAAAATTATTATGGCCATCAAATGGGTTTTAAATCAAAAATGGCCATCAGTTGTGGGTCTTAAAAAGACCCACTTGTCCACTTCAGCCCCCAAATTGCCAACGCGGCGGTTCCAACAGGCCATTGGCCATGCCAATGAAGCTTACCGTCATTCCGAGGCAATGGGATGTAGGGGGATTGCAACGAAACAACTGCTGCACTGTGTGGTCCTGCCAGAAACAACTAGCATTTGGGCATGAATTTTACCAGCCATGTATTGTAATAAAACGGGGATGGTTTAATCTGTTTAATGAATTTTAATGATTCCTGGGTTTAGTATACATCTAAATTACATTTCATTGGGGTTTACTGTAATCTATCTTTTTGGGGTTGCCATACAGCACGGTTGGCCTTCCAAAACTCCAAATCCAGGGCTGAATTCCACCAGGCCCTGGAGCAGTCCTTGATGGAAGAGACGAAGCGAGGCGTTGCAACTAGCAATCACCTGACGAATGTTACATAGCTATGGTATATCTATGGTACATCAGGTGACATCAACCTAGCAATCCTCTATGGTACATCAGAGACATCAGATGTTTTTTTTTTGTGACCAGCTTTTGGAAGCAGCCGACATGCGATATTTAAGGGCAGTTTCTCGCAACATTTGGAATGCTGAGCAACGGTGTCTATAGGAGTGCAACATTCAGCACAGGAGCTTTCCACAAAAGTCTTTCGCAAGACTTGGATTGTGTTAAGAGTGTTCTACGGGAGTCTTCAAAGAGATTGTAATGATAGAGAGTCGTACAAAACCGACCGAAGGTCGTAGACGAGTGGACTCTTGTTTTTGCAGCTTCCTAAGCCAATCTCCTTCTAAATAAAAGTCTGCCAGAGACTTTCCAAAGTTGTTGTAGTTGTAGAATTTGTAAAAAACATGAAAAAGAATGAAAAAGACATGTTGCTGTCGAGTGGGGTGCAAAGTGTTGTGCAACGATCATAAATTCATCGCGCTGCTGCCTGAGGGCAAAATGGATCCAAAATCATGGGGCTACCCCCAAATCAGCCCAAATTTATCCATTGATTCATAGGATTTTCATAGGATTTTCATAGGATTTTCCATGAAATCAACCATCCAGCGATTTTAGGGGTACCCCCATTTGGGCCAGGTCAGGAGGATCGTGTGAAGTGCAGTGAGTCAGCTCAGGTGCGAGCCGTGGTGATGCTTCTCATTTTGTTTTTTGACTTTTTTTTTCATTTTTTTTTCTAATTTTTCCATTTTCTTTCATTTGGTCTAATTTTCTTTTGCTATTTTTCTTTCATTTGTTTTTCATTTTCTCTCATTTCCAGGTGACTCTTGGACCCACTTTCTTCCACTTTGTCCCACTTTGTCCAACATGTTCCTTGGATGTCAGTGACTGCAGGCCCTGGCTTCTCTGGGACAAGACTTGGAGGACGGAGAAGTTCGGCAATGCGGCATACTGTTTTGGTGGACAGAACTCCATAGGACAGGCATGTGTGTGTATATATATTATATGTATAAGCAATAATCATATATATATATATATATATTACATGCCCCAGAACATCAGTAGCCACTCTTCATGGAGAGGACAGAAGACTTTATGGGTTTGATGGTTTGATGGCTTGGTGTTTCATCGCAAGTTTCATCACACCAGGCTACAAAGGAGAGCTTCCTCCAGGAGCAGAAGGAGCTGAGGTTGGAGCTCATACGAGGCGAGGGAAACATGGGGTTCCCCATCGACAATCTCGGCTGTATCCCATGAGTGTCAGCTGGTGCCAAAGGTTTTTGTTGGAACTGTCAGCTTCACACTTTTCCACAGAGATTGTAGCATTTCTATGCATTTCTGCGACCTTTAAGACGACCTGTCTTGACATACAGAGCTATGTCCAGCCGTGCGATGTGATGCCCCATGGCCCCATGGTTTGGGCCTAGGGCAGCGAGACCTTTCCAATGAGTTGAAGCCGCAACTGTTGGAGCTGACCTCTGCGTTGATGAGGAGTCAGGAGATTTCTGAAATTGATCGCTTGGGATTGGTCGGATCCAAGATATCCAAGGATGCGGCGATGCCCAGGGTACATCGTCGATTGGAACTTTGTCCCTTCGGTTTTTTTATTTTTCACACCCCCAAGAAACCATAGTGTAATAGGGGATTGACACATATTTGGGGCCACTTATTATGGGTGCTTAAGGCTGGGGGATGGGATTATATCCAGGGTTACCAGGAAGTCACTTCGCAACCAGTGCCTGGCGTGGCTTGTTCGCTGCTGTGAACCTGCAAAACACCACTGATATTTTTGGAGGAGTTGACTGAGGAGGCTCAAAAGGCCCATCCGTGTTGTCTGAGGTTGCTTGGTTCCTGCAGAGACTGTCACGCTTGAAAGTTGTAACATGTTGTACTACAAATGTCCCATTAAACACCCAGAAATCATGGTTCAGGAGAGAGCTGCACATACCCGGCCTGGTAAACGTTGACAAAAAGCTATTGAAGCCATGGCCCAGTCGAAATAGTTGATATATATATATATATATATGTATATACCCAGCTAACAGTTCGCATGGCATAGCATGGTGGATCTTTCCAGTTCGTTTTTTCTATGTTTACCAGGCCGGGTATTTGGATGATGGTGAGGCCGTAGCACGTTCTGATGCTGCCTGGAGACCGGAGGCCTCACCGTCACGGGCGCGTTTTTTTGTGTTCGCCCTGTTGCGTGAACTGTTGGTGAAATCATTGGATGTCCAGTTGCAAGAATTTCTGAAATCATATTTTCAGTAGAAACAAAACTGATCCGCAAGTCACAAAAAGTTGTATCCATAGCTGCCTTCAATACTGAAAAGCTACGAATTTTGGAGGACCCCCCCCGTTTTTTCAATCGACAGGTGCAGGATCTGCGCAGTGAGGCTGGGGTGATCCCTGGGAAGGCATCCCAGTAAGCTACGGTAATAACTAATATCCATATCATACCCTAGTTCTGTGCGTATATATCTATATATCTATATATATTCTAATATAATATATATATATATATATTCTACATATATATATATTTATCAATGTCTATATCTATATCCATCGACATATATATATATATACGCATATATGCATACATAATCATACATATGGGTTACATGCAACGAACATAAGAAGGCAGGGCGACCAGAGGATCTTCAATGCGGTGTGTGGACAGGCTGCTTCCCACCAGAAGACGCTGGAGCAGTTGAGCTCCCAACGCGCAGCATGGGCTGCGGGAAACCGCTGTTGATTCCACTTGAATATGGGAAAATCGTGGGAACATCATGGGAAAATACAGCATCCGAAGCAACTTTCCTGCTTTTGGGAGTGGGGAAGCAATGGAATCTCCATGATGAGTGAGTTTTGGTGGCCTTCCCCGGGCCTTCCCCACTCAATTTGTTCAATTCAACTGTCCGGAGATTTTTTTTTACGAACTCACTGCGACGTCAGTGGAATGATGTAGTAGGGGTAGCTATCCCCAAATATCCTTAATTTCAGGTTAGTGAATTGAACTGTTATCTCATGAATATCCCGAATTTTGCAATGAACTCCAGGCCATTCATTGGAGGGTAAACCCTAGATTTTCTGATCCCCACTTTACTTGGACATTGAGAAAACTTGTGAATTTCGCCGAATTTTCCCAGATTTTTCCCGGTGAAAAATGGGGAAAATGGTCCGATTTTCACCACGAGTTTTCCAGATGGCCGAGGCTGGAAGCTGAGAAGAACACTTTGGCTAAGGGCCTACGAGAGCTTCAGCGTTTGGGAGCCCGGGGAGTTTGACAAATATGTCAATGGTTGTGTCTCTTTGTGATGCATATTTGCGTGCATACTGCATATATGATATGTATATATATATAACATATGTATATGTATGTATGTATATATATATATATAGTTATGTATATAGTTATGTATGTATATAGTGATGTAAAGCGTTTGCACACACACACACAGAGGAGCTTTTGCACACACAGACGCCTTTACACACAGAATCTTTCACACAGAGAAGCCTTTACACAGAGGAGCTTTTACAGACAGACGCCTTTACACACAGAAGCTTTTACGCACAGAGAAGTCTTTACACAGAGGAGCTTTTACACACATATGCGTTTACACACAAGCTCTTACACAGAGAAGCCTCTACACAGCGGAGCTTTTACACAGAGAAGTCTTTACACAGAGGAGCTTTTACACAGACACTTTTACACAGAGAAGTCTTTACACAGATGAGCTTTTACACAGAGAAGCTCCTGCACAGCGAAGCTATTACACACAGACGCGTTTACATGCAAAAGGTTTTACATGCAGAAGCTTTTACACACAAGCTTTTACACCGAGAAGCTTTTGCAAAGAGAACCCTTGCCACAGTGTGACGTTGCATAATGGCAACTTTACACCAGTTTTGCCGGAAATGCTGCGCCCCAGGACCGGGACAACCGTTTTGTGCGAGCCTGCGCAATCGAAATGCACATGGACATGTCACAAGAGCATACAAGAGCGATTTTGTGTGAGAATTCTCAGGGGAAATGCCGCGCCCCAGGAGCTAGCAAAACTCGCGCCGCAGACTTTGTGCGAGCCTGCGCAATCGAAATGCATTGCATCTGAATTTTTAATTTCGCAATTCTATACACTAGTTTTGGACGTTCGACCCTTTTTTCGTGCCAAGGGCGGCGCTGTCACCCGCAAAATTCGCATTTCACCACACGTTTGTGCGTCCTATGTCCGACACGCACGATCTCTGCGGAGGGTTGATTACGTAAAAGCTTTGCCGCATAATGTCGGAGCTTAGCTATTCACAGAATGCCTTGGATCCACCAAGTTTGCACCTGGATTGCCAGGGAAGCACCAACTCGTCAGTAGGATTTCTTTGGAGCCCATCATTCCGATGTGTCGGCAGCAGTTAAGATAGTGTGGGCTCCGCCGTTGTCGTTTCCTTTGATGCTGACATTCAAACCAGCTTCGAGGTCATTGTCTGTGATGGGTTGGTTGAAGGTCATGAGCCTTCCATAAGGCGACATGCCTGTCGTGTGATGCGACTCTTGTCCATCGCCATCCCCATCATCGTTCAATACCACCAGTGAAGAAGAAACTGGGCAATATGGAACATGTTCGTGCCCTCCAGCTGTTGACCCGGCTCCCACACGCACATAATAACTTTCCCGAGCGAAGAGAGCGAAGGAATATTTATCGCGGTGGCAAGCCTAAGTAGTGACAGCCCTCCAGATGATTGGACGAGTCCTTTCCCAGAATCTCCGTCATCAAGCACTTGCACCAAACCGTGTTGTACTGTATCTGGTTGTTTCACATTCTATGTAGCAATGAGGCTCTAAATCTTCTATCCAATGTCTGTGAATTGAACTAGTCTCTGCACAAGAAAATGACTGTGTCAAGAACTTTGTGGAAGCCGCGCGTTATCTTCTCACATTCAAGCCTTGCGCGCGAAAATGACTGTGTCTGCGTAGTTTTGATTGATGGGTTTCAGTCATAATGCTAAGGTATTGACTTCAAATGTCACGTGACTGCTTTCCATGTTTTATGCGACATGTTCATATCTATATTTCGTATTTGTTCAAGCGTACAGCCATGCAGTTTGATAATCAGATGTAAGATCCAGAGATCAGTTATCAGCTGCAGAAACCCATGCATCGAATATGGATGAACACGGTACCTTTGTCAACGACTGCTTTAAATTCGGCAAATTGCGGGGGGGGGGACCCTTTTGTGAACTTCAACATGCCTTCTTTCAATGTCAAGTGTAGCCAAGATCTGTTTAATTTGGGAAACCCATTTTTTCCCCAAGTCTGATCCAAAAGTTATTGACGTATTTTTTTTTGAGGGTGTCCGCATATATTTTTTTTTCATTTTTCTCGCCTTCTCTAAGTTCTCCAATTGATAGAACTTGAAAAATTGTCCGAACTGCTGGGTTTCACACCCGTTTTCGATACGGAAAACTCGTTGTTCCTTTGGTATTTGCATTGGTTCTGTTTGTGCACTCAAGAAAATTTACCTCGAATATTCATGAATATTCCATTTTTTTTCGAGGATACCCGAACGGTTGAACAATTGCATATTCTAAGTATTTGATCATGCATATAAATATATAATATATATATATAGGTACCGACTCACCACTCTGAGAAGTATTTTCTCTTGTATACATATATACATTGGTCACCGTTTACATATTTACATATATACACGAATGTCAGTATCCAAGTGTATTTACGCAATATCTCGACAGACGCCATGATGAGGACCGGGGGTTTCCCTTTGACCCGAACCACGTGGAACTTACATGAAACCGATTGCAATTCCCCCTGCTTTGTACCCCTGCAATTCACTGATGAAAGAAAAGAGTATCCATGTCTGGCCTTCGACCTCTTCCGCCTGCTCTGCTCCTCTGCGCGTTCTCGCGGCTTCTTTGGAGATCGCCGGACCCGAACAATACGTGGCAGATAGAATGTCAGAAGACATGTCACACAAAAATGTCAGACAAAAATGCCACAATGTATGTCAGAGAAAAGGTCGGACAAAATGCCAGAGAAGATGTCCTTAGACTACAGTAGATGTTTGATCGTATGTCAGATAGAATGCCACAAAACTGCCAACAGGTAGGTCGGAGAGAATCTTGGACAAAATGCCAGATAAAAGACAAAATGTCAGAATGTACGTCAGAAGGGAGGTGAGATAGAATGTCAAAATATTCGTCAACAAAACACGATAAAGTGTCAGATAGCATGTTTGGTAACATGTCAACTGCAATGTCAGAATATGTGTCAAACAAATGCCGGATAGAATGTCAGAATATGCCAGATAAAGTCTCAAAATTTATGTCAGAGAATATTCCAGCCTTTTTTTGTGCGATAGCATGTCAGAATATATACCAAAGGAATGTCACGTTTAACATGTCAGACACAATGCCAGACAAAACGTCAAAATCTATGTGAGGAACATTGACCGAATCTACGTCAGAGAAAAGGAACGAAGGTATATGCCAGATAGAATGTCATGTCAAAGTCTGGTCAATTTTCAGCTGCATTGCCGGAAGACATGTCATGGCGGGGATCGCTCGAAGTTTGTTGCACGGAAAAGGGTCGGTTGAGTGAAAAACTTACCTGAAACAGCTGCCTGAAACCAGTGGCATCAGGTGACCAACCCTATCCATGTCAGTGTGCTTCGAAATAAAACGCATGTTTGATCGGTGATGTTTCTACTCAAAATTGATGCAATCTTTGAAAACTCAACGGTGACTGATGTTGTGATACACCCAATAGCTGCAAGAAATCGATGAAACAACTCGCCTGGAGTTGTTGGGACCCTGGTTTCTGGTGTTTTTTTCATTGAAGAAGCCACCACGCAACAAACCTCCTTGCAATGATGTTCTCTTAAATGTTTTTCGGGCCTAGTGGGAAGCAAAACTAAGTTGGAGTCCTTGATGGATTTTCCAAGGTCAGGGCGTAAGCCATGAGTGGCGCATACCGCGTTTGCAACAACGTGTAGAGTCCGAGACCCAAGTGACTTTCGAGATGATATGACTTTCATGTACTCAGTGGATGAAAAGGCATTTATTTAAAAAAAAACATCTAAACTCACTTGTGACTTGGATTTGACCCATCATGATTGGAATCTCCAAATCATAGTGGGACCATACATGACCGTATTGATCTCTAACTTGACCATGGCAGCCATGGCAGCCATGGCAGCGCCCAGGTATCTGTCCATGGATTCAAAGGATTCCAAAGGTGTTTGGATCGACTCGCCTCACTTCGAGTGCCCAGACGGAGTCAGCCAGAGTTGGTTTCCGTAGTGGGGAATGGTTTAGTTTTGAGATGGGGGAAACTCCATAGTGGGCAAAAGCCCATGAAAAATCGCTGGTTGGTTTATTTCCATGGGAAAATCCCCATGGAAAATCAATGGATGATAACTGGGGGTACCCCCATGACGAAACGGAAACCTCCATTCAGTTCCCCCTGGGTTTTGCTTGATGAGTTTTGTTTTTGAATTCTTGCAAGATGTTTTCATTGCCCGAAAAACTGGTGCCCCAAAAATGGTGGATATGCCACTTTATAGAAAAAACGTTTTTCCCCGAGTTTTTCCCGCTGTTTTCCCAACACTTTGGACTTCGACCTCCAGCGACTTGCTGCAGTGGTCATTCCAGTGCCAGCGATTCTGCCATCCCTAGGCTGGAGGGCTCGGGGCCTTTCGTATTGCGCTTTTATCCCAGAGGTGTCGAAAGCCCAGCCCAGCCGCTCGAGCCACTTGAGCTGAAGAATCAGATCACTGTGAAGCCTAGAGATGGATCATAAGATATCAGCGATTTCTCCAATGATCAAAACATGATACAGTAGGTATTACTATGGTTATATGATACTATATGATACTGTTGATGGAAGAAATCCTGCACCACCTTGGATGGTTGAAACCCTATAAATAATGGGATAAACCACCTATCAACTGGTGTAGGATTTCTTCCATCCACAGTAGTACTATGGTTTTGTCATGTTTTGTCCCTTAGATCATGGTGTTGATCTCAGTTCCAAGGTCTGTGGAGGAGATGGTCTATGTGCTGTGGGTGTCTTTGCGCCCAATCGAGCCGGCAGAACTGCAGGGAAGCCTGATCGGTCGAGTTCGTCAACTTCAGCGGTGTTTTTTTCCGCCGATTTCTGGATGGTTTTACCATGGGTTTTACCTATGGTGATGTTCCCGTTCACCTTTGTTCACTAGGTTGTGATTTTTCTTCCTTTGAGCAGTCAACTTGTGAACTCCACCATTTATTTTAAGTGGACACTGTGTAATGATGTTATTTTTGCTGCAAAAATGATCAGCAGTTGTCACATTTGCTTCACAGAACTTTGCGACAGGGGCATAGCATTTTGCTTTTGTTGATGCTTTTGTCCATATGTCCATCGGCCCGTGCTGAACTTTCATTGAAGTTTAGTTCCCAATGTACCACGAGTCTGGCTGTTTCCTACTGTGACCGTCGCATACTGCGGCGATTTTTTTGGGTTTGTGAGACACATCCATGTGGAGGTTTCCTGAGTCATGGGGGTAGCCCAAGTCACCATGGGTTTCAATGGGTTTTATGTTCCAATGACTTGGATGAAAACTGGGGGTACCCCAATGACTTATAGGAAACTTCTATGGACTTTTGGTGAGACACATCCAGTTGAAAATGTCTGTGGCTTCTCCAAGGCACTCCCTCTACGACTTGAGCTGCGTTGGGCACCCAGCCCTCGCAATGAAATCATCGACGCGGTCAGTTGATGTGGTGACTCTTCTCTGACGAGACCAGAGTGTGGAATGGACTTGACCGTTTTCCAAGGTATCAGCGACCTTCGGAAACGTGCCTCTGCCCAAAGTGAGGCTTGCGGTTTCCGATGTTTTCCGCTATGGTTGTTCTTTGCCGATCTGATAGCATGGGATCCAGCATGAAGTTCCAGGTCTCTTTTAGACCCAGCAAAGCCTAGCGAAAGCGCGAAAGCATCGAAACGTTCAACGCTAAACGGTAAAACTCCATGGGTGCAGGCGGATGGCGTGCTGTGGCTAGCGCACAGCTTTGCTACGTTGGAAGCACTGAAGGATGAACTGCTGATAGGCAGCCAACTGCAGATATTTCATATTTATCAGGAGAAGGTGCCGAGATTTGGATAGTCTTAAGATTTTCACAGCTTGAAATGCGGTGGGAGCACCTGATTGATGAGGTTGCCACATTCAGATTCACCCAGATTTCGGAGTCTGGCGGCCATTGCAGGTGTAGATATTCCGCCCTTTGCTTGGAGCGCTCTAGAGCGAAGCACCTCGCGACCCAAGGAGCACTCTGAAGCAGTTTATAGCAGTTTCCAGTTTCCAGACCCAGTTCCACATCAATCTTCCACATTGATTTTCAACACTTCTCTCTTTTGCGGCGTTATCAACTTGTCGTCCTTCTTTTTGTGTTGTTCTTGCGGTGCTGGTGTAGGAGTATGGACTCACGGGAGCCGTCGCGGTGAATCCCTTCTGCAAAACACCTCTACAGGTCCGGATCTGTGGTCTATACCGTGGGAAGCGTGGGAATGGTGAAGACGAGGCATGGCGCACGTGGCACACGTGGCACGCGTGGCACACGTTGCTCAGAGTTTTGGCTCTTGTGAGTTATTCGCCCATCACAGGGGGACCATGGAGTACCACTTTCTGACTTGAATGAAGAAAATCCATGAAAATCCGGCATTGCTTAGGGCGGAAAGCCTGTCAACTCGTGCTGGCCATCCCTCACCATTTTCGCAGATTTTCGCTGCAATTCTTGACCTGTCCCCAACAAAGGCCACGGGAAACGAACTGTCGAGTTGGCATGGGAGCCGGCTGCCGGTGTCGGCTTGCCCTGCTGGGATCCCAAGGTTGCCGTGTGGATCACCGAGGTGGAATACACATTGATTATCAAGGGGAGGGCCCCAAGCATGATCAGCTGCAGATTTGCATAGATTTCTATAGATTTGTCCAACAAATATGGGCTGAAAACGGGTCAAAACCGTATTGAACTACATTGAACTACCGTATTTGGGGGGATGAGCCGGATGAGCATTCATTTGCCAATGGTTTTGATAGAAAAAAAAGGTTTTTTGTTACCAGTGACGAGGCAGACGAGGCAAAAGTGCCCCCCTAAGTGTTCAAGTCGTGGCTGCTCCATGGTCTTGGTCCTTCATAGACATTCATAGACATTCATAAATAATAAGCAAGCAGTGAAGGGAACTGATAATCATGATTCATGATACGCATTAATGCTCATACTGTATACTGTATATACTTATACATGACAGCTATTAAATGTTATTAATGCTATATCTATGCTATATTAGTGCTATATTAGTGCTAACATCCTTATCGATGGTTATTAACTTTCTTAACAATTATATTGATACGCATTCGTAAGCAGTGAAACATACTGATAGACATTGATTGTTATTGACACTGCTCGCTAAGCATTGATGCACACCGATCATTGATTCGCACTGATAATCACTGATAAACCTTGAGGTACATTCATAAACCATGATAAACGGCAAAGTGGGAAACCTTCTTATCAAGAATGGATACCCTCTGGTAAATTAACATAGACCCTGGCAGATAGGGTTGGAAGATTAGTTTCCATAGGCTATTTTCAGGGTCTATGTTAATTGACCAGAGGGTAAACATTGTTTTAAACAGTGGACAATGACGCTGACGATCATCAACATCCACCGTTGATCATCTCATGCCGAGGTCGACCGTGAGGGAAGCATCAGCATCCCAATAGCCCGGAGCCAGACTCCGAAGGCGGGAACAGTGTGTACATGGATCCGAAAGTGAATGACCCCCCAAAAATACTTTGCCAGTTTTTCTTTCTATTTTTTTAAAATAACTATTAACATTAAAGTAATTTATATATAAACATTGACATAGACATTAAGAAACACATTTCTGCCTAATTCCTATGTTATGTAAGATATGTGAAATATGAAGATTTAGGAGAGACCTTGCAAAGCCAGAACGCCGTGTACGCTGTATTGCGTCCCGGAAGATTTTCCTCAAAGGGACGTGGGAATACGTTGCCGGTCTTCTGGAGATGGATTCCTTTCGCAGGAAGCGAATGTCGCAGCGTCAGGCCTGGGTCAAACATGTGTTGTGAGTTGCCATATTTGAATATATTTGAAGGCCATAGTATCTATAGATGATACAGATGCTATATGTGTAGCAGTAGTTTTTTTTTTTTTTGGGGCCGATTTCTTGGATCGCAACATGGCGACTCAAAGGACTGAAAGGTTGGGAAAAACTGGGAGATTTCTGAAGATCTCTGAGCATCAAGACATTTCGAGACTTTTGATCTGCTTTTCTCATAGAAGGGCAGCCAGGACGATGCAAACCATGGATGAAACGTGCTGTAAAGTCACCTGGACAGGAAGTGCCACTAGCGAGGTGCAGATGGACTTTGACTTTGTCATGCTGGGAAATGGTGTCCTAAAAAGTTCCCTGCAGTAGAGTACTGAGGACAGGGACTTATTACATCTTATTACTGTATCCATTCTGAAAAACAGTTTCTTGAAGAGTAACACATATCATCTACAGTCGTGTGTTTCTGTTTTAAAGCAATCTCTTCATACAAGCATGGCTCAGAGGACCGCAACAGAAGCTGCACAAAGGCTTTTGTTTTCCTTGCTCAGTTTACTTCCAGCAGGGTGTCTTGTTAAAACTCCAGCAGGGTGCCATTGTCGTCAGGGCCATCGCTCCGTTCCAAACTCTCCCCATGGCCATTTGGCTGAGACTGGCGACAGCAACGGAGGGTTTTAGGGCTGGAAAGGGGGCATGGAAGGCATGAAGATTTTCTAGAACATCTTGATTTATGGCCGATGGTGCATCAATGATTTTCAGTCATTTTCAATAATCATTGGGGGATCTCAAGTTTTCCAAACGAATTTTCCCATGTGAAGCCGTTAGTCGCCTGACATGATTTAAGTGACGCTGGTGCACTCTTAAACATCTTCCTTGGTGCAGAAGAGACATGCTGGAAGTTTCACAGACTTGGGCTCCACCGTGGAGAAACGCAATTGAAAATGATTGAAAACGATCATCAAGACTTCATGAATGGGGGTACCCCTAAATCATCCATTTTAATAGGATTTTCGCTTATAAACAATCCATTTTGAGATACCCCATTTATGGAAACCACCACTTGAATAAAAACTTGAGATCCCCCAATTTTTGGAATGCCTAGACATTCCCAAAAAGACCAAGCTGTTCGATGTGCCAGTCAGGCAATTTTTTTCAAAATCTCAGGCTCAAGTGCTTCACGGCCCGGATGGGCTGCCTTTGGAGGCGTGTTTTCCATAGATTCCCCATAAAAATGATGGGCTTCTCACGCAAACTTCAATGGTCTCAAGGGAGTCAGCCTTTTTTTTTCGGACCGTTGGGATTTCGCCAGATTTTGCCGATTTCGCCAGCGGATGTGCGGTTGTGAGGAGAAGAGGTGCCAAAGCGGCCTTTTAGTGCCCACGTGCCACGCAGTTCTGTACAGGGCTCGCAATTGGGAGCTGGTGGCAATTGATGCCTCAAAATCCTCACAGAAATAACTCCAATAACTATGGTTTGTGATACATATAACATCATATAACTATAGTTGATGGGGTTTATAAACCAACTTACAACTGGGGGGTTCCATATTGTGCAAATGTTTTGACATTTCCTGACTCTCCTGTTTAACCAAACCGCTGCCTCATACATATATATATATATACACATATGTATATATTTGGCGGATTCCCTGAAGGCTTGCAAATTGCCTGCGTTCTGACGTTGCAATTGGCTGCTTCATATGAGCCTGAACATTTTTCCAGGGTGCCCAACTGAGGTAAGTCAGCCAATGCCGGTGCTGTTGGGTTCAGTGCATAGGCAAGATGTGTGTTCGGGTGTTTCCAGGATCAAGAGGGATTGAGTTCCATCCTTCAACACATTTTTTCGAGTCGATCCTGACGGGTAACGAAGTGACGATCTGATACGATCTGATCATCGTATGTCAGGCTGAAGTTCAGTTGTGATCTCTTCAAATTCTTTGTTGACTCCTGAAGTTCTGCAGGAAAGGAGGGCCTTTAAACAGCGCTGCAAGCGGAGCCGCTCCCGGCCGTTCAAGCAATCCCTTCGCCAATGATCGAAATGTTGATGTCCCCAAATGTGGCAACCCCTTCGACAAGTGAAGGACGACCCCATGATTTCATGCCGACAAAGTTCGGCCACCGCCCGCCGCAGCAAAAGACGACAGATTGGAGGCGACGATTCGAGGCGACGATTCGGTCAGAATCAGGCATGAATGGCATGAAGTGTCTGAGATTTCCAGAGTTTTTCATGCAACAGTTGGATGGCGTTTGTAAATGCCTTGTGGAACAAACATGCTGCAAAATAAGCTTCCTGAGAAAAGACTGCATTCTCCTGTATCCATCAAGATCGTACAAATCTTGCTGCCTAGGCCTGCTTCCTTGCGAAGTTTGGGTTGCTGGATGTTGTGTATATCTGTGTATCAAGATCAGTAGTGAATAGTAGTGAACATGAAGAAGGAGCTTCGAATGCAGTAACTTGCAAAGGCCGTGCCATCAATGTGTGAACTTTTGGAAAGGTTGACGTGGCTCTTGAAGCAGCCAAAGCAGTGGGAGGGACGATGAACATATAAATGAGATCGAGCACACCGAAGTAGCAATTTTCTGGTCACCGCACCATACATGTAATTTAGTGAAGACTTTGAAGACTCTACAAACTTGGTGCCAGAGCAAGCGTTTTTCAATGCGATCAGAACAACTTCAAGTTGCAGATGCGCAGAACATTGCTGGAGAATGGTTTGACATTGACTTGACATGGATGCGCGCAATCAAGTTCAGGCGCGCAATCTGTGTTTCCCTGGGGCAAAAAAGTGACCTCGCAACGATCTCACCATAAATGATGGCTAGTACGGATATTATGATATGATTATCCTAAAAGCGGGTTGCAGTATTTTGATTTGGCAACTGGATGTTTACCAATCCAGCCTGCCAATACTCTCAAGGCTTTTCCTGTAGAACAAGGTACTCCAGATCGCACATCCGACATCAGCTGAATCCAGAAGCATTTTGCACTACGCCACTTGGAATTTTCTGATCGTTTTCCATAGTATTCCATAGATTTCCATAGATTTCCATAGATTTCAATAGATTTCCAGAGTTTTCCATAGTTTTCAATAGATTTCAATAGATTTCCATAGATTTCCATAGTTTTCCGTAGATTTCAATAGGTTTCAATAGATTTCCATAGTTTTCCATAGATTTCAATAGATTTCAATAGATTTCAATAGATTTCCATAGTTTTTCGATAGTTTTCCATAGTATTCCATAGATTTCCATAGATTTCCATAGATTTCAATAGATTTCCATAGTTTTCCATAGATTTCCATAGATTTCCATAGATTTCAATAGATTTCCATAGATTTCCATAGTTTTCCATAGTTTTCAATAGATTTCAATAGATTTCCATAGATTTCCATAGATTTCCACAATTGCTCCATAGATTTCCATAGTTTTCCATAGTTTTCCGTAGATTTCCATAATTTTTCCATAGATTTCCATAGTTTTTCAATAGTTTTCCGATAGTTTTCCATAGTTTTTCATAGATTTACAAACATTTCCATAGTTTTCCATAGTTTTCTTCGCATTTTCTTGGCATTTCTTGGTGCGGATTCCAGGCTGCTGTGCAGAAAGTCTTGGACAAGATCGATGTGCTTCAACATGGCCCTCCAGAGGTCCGCCCAAAACAACGGGAAGCTCCATATTTCTACGATTCTACATCAACATTAATTGTTTGATAATGGCTATATGGGTTTGTCTGAAAATAGTGTACCCCTACACCCAATGGTTAATGATCATTATCCCTACTAAATGGCTATAATTGGGGGTATACCCCATTTTCAGACATACCCATATATATATATATACAATATGTATAATATATTAACTAGATAGTTTTTTAATTGTATTACATGCATATTTATATATTCATATGTTGACAATGGCTAATAGTATTCATTATGGTATTTATTCATATAGTCCATTCAAGAAGACCGCTAGAAAATCATCATCGCTGGATGTTCGGATCCTTTTGGAAGTTGGGATAGCCAAGTTTCAGGCACCGAAAGTTGGCGACCTTTTCATGCTGCCAAAAAGATGCTGCTGGATCCATTTTTTGGTGATGCTTTGACTTTCAAATTCACTTTTTTTAGGTATGGAAAGTTAGAGGACCTAACTGTTCCCAAGTTTAGCATATTAGGGATTTACTAGGACCTTCTGGGGGATTTGCATCACCCATCATTTAAGATTTTTCCAAGCGACACAACAACGAAACAACGAATCGAACTGGTCAGGAAACCAGTTCGATTTACCCTTCAGGACCTGGCCAAGAACGTGCAAAGCTACCTGCACCAGCTCTCAGCGTCTTGGATTCCGGCCAGGACCTGGTCCGGAGGTGAATCAGATGGGGTTTCCATAATTTTTCGGGATCCCCATAGCTGGATGGGTTTTGGATGGTTTTGGTTATGGAGTTATGGACAATCCCAATCTAATAGCTGGATGATAACTAGGGATACCTCCCCATGACTTGGGAAACCTCCGAAACTTGCGAGACTGTGGTGGAAACCTACGTAGATCATCGTAGATCCACGTCCTGGATACCGAACGCTAAGGAAGTGGACCGCAAAGCACCGTTGCTGGGAAAGTCAGCGCCTGGAAGTCGGGATGGAGGGAATATTCCAAAGCCCCAAAGCACAGATTTTTCCTCTGCTTTTGCATTTGAAGTTCGTAATCTAGAACAACCAGTCAGTCAGTCTGCTCTGGGAGATAAGATTCCTTACGTCTCATGCATTCTGTTTAGTGCTGGCGGAATTTCGAGGTGTAGCCGTTTTTCGCCTTCATACGGTGAATTTTTTGAGCTTTCCGAAGTCATGGGGTTCCCCTTAAATCGTCCATATTTGTTTGGCGGATTTTCCATGAACCTATCCAGCAACTATGGGCGGATTTTCCCGGCATCCCCATCGAGGCGAAAGGTGCCAGAGCCAGCGGTGCGATTCATGGACGAGGCCCATGTGGCCATGCCATGCGCGATGTCATGGATGTCATGGATGTCATGCCAGGGTGGATCGCTGCCGACCTGGTGTTGGGCGCCAAGTTTGCGGAGCGAGATGTTCTAAGAATTCATGAAGGGGGTTCCTAAAGTCACTTTGGCATACTTTGGCAATCACTCTACGAGCGCTGTGCACTTTGGTTGTTGGCTTATTAGCTCGAATTTGGAGAACAACTGGAACCGGTGCTCAGAAGAAGAGTGAGACATGATTCCAGAGGCAATTTGGCTTCTTTAAGAAGCCCAACAGTTGGCAGATGTGCCACTGACTTTTCCTCTTCAAAGAGATGTCGGAAGGTGAATGTTTCCTGAATCTTTTGCATTCAGTGTCCAACAACAGCTCACTTTCACACTATTCCAGTCTATTCCAGTATATTCCTGAACCCCTTCTGATATGACAAGCTTAAGGAGCAGTGGCTGCTACACATTCTGGGATTGCTATTTCATGGAATGACCAGGTCGTAAAAAAACACCATTTGTTTAATGGCCCCCGCTGTTTTTTTCATGGCTTCTCTAACCACATCTGGCGACATTGGCCAGGACTTGGGGTACGATTACCAAACCCAGCTGAAAGGTGCTGACCAAACCAGGAGGTGCCTGTCGATTACCAAGGCGGCCCCGTTTTTAGGAACAGCTGAAATGGCACTTGAAATGCCAAGCACAAGCAACTTCTAGTGACCTGAGACTTTTTTTCAAAGATGCATTCCCCATCATTCCCCCATTTTTGTGTGACCTGAGCGACCTGAGTCAACTTCTCAGTTGTGAATTCACCAGGGCAGAAAGGCCCAGACCATGAATTTGAAGGCGTTCCACAGGTGGGGGGGTCGCCATTGGATGGTTGGTGATGATCCCCGAAATCGAGTGGGTCAAATCCAGTGGCTCCGATGTCGAGTCAGACGTTGTCGGGTCCATGTCGGGTCCATGTTGAACCCAAAATGGTCATGTCTTGAGGTCTTTGAAGGAGCAAGGCGGACAACTTACACTTGGATCACCTGGATCACTTGGATCACTTGGTAGCTGCTGCAGCTTTGTTGCTAGAGGACCTGTTGTTTCATCAACTTTGATCAAATTGAAACTACTCCATGTTGTCTAAATCCCACCATGTTGGGATGGTACCACCTGGGTTTTCAGCCATTGGAAATCTTAGAAGAAACTGTAGATATCATGATAGGTATCATGAAGCATCAGTAACACAGCAATTGTATCATGTTCCAATGTTCTCTTGGATTTCTTGCCCATATTCACCTCTCAGGTTGGGGTCAAGGGCCTTCATCGCTCTCTTCGCTGTCGAAGACGATGACAGGGCACCCCAGTCGCGCTGCCATTGCGCCATTCAGCCAGTCCCAAGCCATCAAAGCTTGACATATCTTGAGCCATCTTGTTCAAAGGCGAGATGATGCGACAAAGAACGCAGAAGAACCAAGGGGAAAAAAGGTCCTCAAGCGTCCGCAGTGCGGTATCACATACAAGTTCTTACAGCATCGACCAGTTCAAAATACTTCAAGCACAAGTTGTTCGGTACTACCTATGTATCCTATGGTTACAAGGGTCGTATCTATGGCAGTATCGCTGAGACGCAGTTTCTGCATTTCTTCGACATTTTTGGCTCGGAAAAACAAAAAACCGTACCGTTAGCACCTTGAGACTCCGTTTTTTGCGCCGAATCCAGCTTAGAGTTCTGGAGAATTCTGGAGAATTTGACGGGATATGGCCCAGACATTGCCAAGATCAATCAACATCATCTAAAATCATCTAAAATCATCTAAAATCTGTTTACTATGCTTACTATCGATTTTTTCAGCTTACTCTTTTTGAATCTGAGGCTGATATCAGATGTCTTGCTGAGGAATTCGATGCTGGACCCGTACACATGTATCGTCAAGAAGAATCGAAAGTTGGCCACTGAGCACAGTCATGTCCGGTGCCATAGGGCCATAGACAGTTCAAGCATGTTTAAACGGAGGTGCCTCAATACGTCCAGATTCATTCAGAGACATGACATGAAAAGAGTCGGCTGTACCCTCACAGTTGCTATTTTAAGTCATTTTCTATAAACCATGTTCAACAACCAAGGAGGGAATGGATCCATTTCCATGGAACACGTGGAATACACGCAGCTGTTGCAGCTGGTCTAAGGTATGCCTCTGAATGCACCGAGGTGGATTGGGGCAGCTGTTTCTTTTGTAAACTAGTCATCAAGCCAGGGATTTTGCCATGGTTTAGGCAAAATCGACCAATGAGCTCAAGAGATTGCCTTCAAAACCTGAAGCTGAGAAGCTGATGACAAAACGCAGCGCCCTTCGTACAGCGAAGATGAAGGACGGCTCGTCCCCAACGCAAGGTTCATTTAGCCAATCACGGAGCCGACAGCCTCTCGAAGAATTTCGACCACTTCGGTAATCTGGAGGTTGTTTGGTGTCGCCCTCAGCCGAAACTAGTCACCCTGAGTCATCTTCAAAAGTCACTGTTCACAACAATATGGTGCTTTTATAATGAAAAATCCTAATCAAATGAATGATGACTGGGGGTACTACCATGACTTCGGAATCCTCCATATGGGGTAATACAGTCTAATCCCAACTCATGATGGTGGGATGACCATGCCTTTGTTTGCCATCACATTTTACCATTTTTACCATGGCATGGAAAGCCCTAAGGTTGCAAGGGAATCAGCTCTCCAGGGTGGAAAACCTTCAGGGCAATTTTCGAATTCGCGAGGTGGGCGATGCTGAATTGGATACATCTGGTGTGACTGTTGACTTTCCCAATAGGAATTCCACTTTTATGGGGAATCTATAGGGAATATGTTATCCTATTTGTTTTTGGTTCCAAAAAAGCAAATCAATCCAAGTAATGTGGGTAAAACAACAATGAACCATCTCCCAAATCACAATTTTTATAGGTGGTATGTTTACCATTCCCAGTCATGGGTGGTTTATGACGTTGTTTTACCTACATGATTTCATCATGAAACGCCCGAGACTGGAGCTCTGCTCCCTGTCAGATCTACCTGCAGAATAATCGCTTGGTATCTCTGGCGGGCTTGCGAACCTTCAAGTTTCTCAAGGCGCCGAAATGCAGCGAACTTCTGAAGACAACGGCTGATCGATATAGTGTTTACCCTGGACCTTTTCCACAAGCACGGGATGGATTCTTCAACCATTGGACCCTTTTTGAAGCAGTCGATGTGATCCAGGCTTTTCGGGTGAAATCCCTCAGCTCTCAGCTCTCATTGCGCTATAGGTCCTCCTAGCGAGTGGGAACCAATTGCGAAACCTCGACAAACAGCTGGGCTTGCTTTCGAGGCGACCCAGGGGCCCAAAAACAGTTACGGTGAGTTGATGGTTTCACGATTCGAATGATCTTTAAAGAATTTAACATGAAACAGAACCAACAGAACCTTTAGATGGAATCAAGAAACGACTCAATCTTGCATAATCTGAAGCAACGTCCATGATTTTTTGTGTGTGTTTTTCTGACTTGCAACACATCCCAATCACGATTTGGAGCATTCGCACGCTGGTTGGCTCCCTTTGTTCGGGTTGTGAATAGAGCTTGGATACCCGAGCCAAGAGGTGTCTCCGAAAGAGGAGTCAAGTCTCGCACTTTTTGGAACATATTCGATCGAACTCGGGTAGCGATGGTTGCAACATCAGGGCATCCACCAGAAACAAGGACAAAAATTCAATAAGTTGTCCGGACGCAAAGATTTGCCATATGTCCAGCAAAATCGTTGCTGGAGCTCGGTGATCTATCGTTTTTTTCCACAACAGGTTTGCCTTCTTGCAGAAGCTCGACCTTTTTGACAATCCAGTGGTGCAGCCCAGTGACAGGGGACCCCCGGCCACCGGGGACTCCAAGATATCCAAGATGGAGGCTACACGTATCGACTTTTTTTTCAACCACCGATGGTTCAGCCGCCAAAGGCGTTACAATTTCCGATTCTCATCCGCTAAGCTATCCAACTCATACGGCAGCGTTTTGAACCAGTGAGATTGTGAGCTTTTGCATCATTTTAGCAAGCCTCTTAAGGGTACTTTTCAGCATCCAACCTCGATTGGTCTAAAAAGGGTGCTTTTTATGTCTCTTTATGGCTTCCCCTAAAAATCCATACTTCAGCAAGTTTTTTTTTGTCCGCACCAGCATGAATCAAGTATAATCAAGTGGGCAAAGCACAATGTTTTTTCCTCCCCCATGGGTCCTACTAAAGCCAGTGCTTTAGGTAAGCGAAGAGCCGGACTATCGCTTGCGACTGATTTATCAGCTGCCTCAGGTTCTGAAAGGGAGAGCGTTTGGGATATCCATCTTCCCCAGAAAAGGGGAGCCAGTTGGAGCTACGAATTTCGAGTTTCCCAATGATTTTTTGGGATGAACATATGCAAATCCCAGCGAAACACTGAACTTCAGCACCGGCTTGCGAAGCATGTTTTGACCTGCCATCTTAAGGTGAAGATTATTTTGTCTTGAGTGATTTGTGGTTGGCCAGTTCAACCTCCATTTGTTTTAAACAACCACTTACAAGACACACACACACACACATATAATATACACATACGTCTTCTTTGCATACCAGAACGAGGAGTCATCCTTGGATCCATACTATATATATATATACACACACTGTGGAGCCAGGCATGTGAGGACATCAAAAGACTTTCATTTTGATCCAGTACAATAAGTGGTGAAAGGGGTGCTCTTTGTACAATCCAAAAGGCGTGCCTAGTCGGAGTTCCATATAAAGAGGCATGGGTAGGCACAGCTAGGCGCACCTTAGCATGCCTAGGGGCATGTTTTACCACATTTTCCGTCCTATGAAGTGAAGGTAAGATTCGCCAAACTGCGATTCGCTGATTGAAGTTCAATGACTTCACCGGAACCAGTCGGCTGTGGTGAGATACTACCTGCTACATCCTGTGGGTCATCCTGTGTGCTTGCGCAGGTAGAGATACTAGATCAGCATTCTGTGAAAGTGAAGGAGCGCTTGAAGGCGGATGAAGTGGTTCCCAACCTGGACAAGGTGCCGCCCTGGGTGCGCTGGGGTGGTGCCCCGAGAGTGCTCAGAGGAGGCTGTGCGGCAGTTTGTTGCGGGCAAAAAGAATTCATGGATTTTCCAGCGTTCCAAGTCTAAAACTGTCATGAAGGTCTTTCAGATGCAGGGGTTTAAACCAGCTTAAGTCTGAAGTGATTGTAAATCCACCTTGTTTTTCAATGTTTGCTTCAAGTTTGGATTGAAAGAATGACATTGTTGGCGCCGATTTTTCCACGATATCGAGGTTTCAGCAGTGAAGGTGGGAAGGCCAAAACCCAAGGATCATGGCTTTTCTGTGCTGGAGAGGCTCGGGACTGAACTGCTGTTGCTGGATGTTGTTGGATATTGGATCATGTGAGATTCTTGGACTGCGATTGTGAACAACTTGTGGGCGAACATATTCCTTTACTGCCAGTGAATGTGATCTATTTTCATGGGCTGGGACCGATTTTTAGAAAAAAAAGTTTAGCCCTGAAAATGTTTTTTTAGCCACGTAAATAGGTTTAGCCACGAAAAATCAACATTTTAGCCTCGTAAAAAAAACAGAAATAAAAAATAAAAATTAATATAAGGTAGAATAGAATATTTTTATATTTGCTTTGATGTTTTTTTTACATGTTGATTTTTTCTGGATAAACTTTGATACAAGAATGATTTTTTTGATTTTTTTGTTTCCTTTTTTATTTTTTTCCTTTGTATTTTATCTTATGTTTTTTTTGAAAGGATGATAACAAGGTACAAAACGATGATTTTTGGTACGAAATGATTTATTTTTGGGTCTATTATTATACAGATAGTGTTGCGCCGAACAGGTGCATGGTTGCGCCTTTTAGTTCTCCACTTTGTTTTTTTTGATCACCGTTTTTTTTTGATTCCCCACCTTGGTACAAAAAGATGATTTCTCGATACCAAACGATGATTTCTCGGTACGAAACGATGATTTCTTGGTACGAAACGATGATTTCTTGGTACGAAACGATGATTTCTCGGTACGAAACGATGATTTCTTGGTACGAAACGATGATTTGTCGGTACTTTCTCGGTACGAAACGATGATTTATCGGCACGAAACGATGATTTCTCGGTACAAAACGATGATTTCTCGGTACGAAACGATGAGTTCTCGGTACGAAACGATGATTTCTCGGTACGAAACGATGATTTCTCGGCACGAAACGATGATGATTTCTCGGAACGAAACGATGCTTTCTCGGTACCAAACGATGATTTCTCGGTACGACACGATGATTTCTCGGAACGAAACGATGCTTTCTCGGTACGAAACGATGATTTCTCGGTAAACGATGATTTCTCGGTACGAAACGATGATTTCTCGGAACGAAACGATGATTTCTCGGTACGAAACGATGATTTCTCGGTATGAAACGATGATTTCTCGGTACGATTTCTCGGTACGAAACGATATGCTTTGTCGTTACGAAATGATGATTGGCCATTTTGGGTCATTTGGGTGTTTTTTGCCGATTTTGGCAAATTAAGGTATTTTGAGCCATTTTGGCACATTTGGCAACTTTGGCAAAGTTAGGCATTTTTTGCAATTTGCGGGCAAATTTGGTAATTTTTGGTAAATTTGAGAATTTGGCTCAAATTTTAAGGGGATTTCGCATGCAAATTTGGCAGTTTTGCAAAATTTGCCTTTTTTGTCGATTTTGGCAAATTGGGTCATTTTTGCAAATTTGGCCACTTTTGCAAATTTAGGCAATTTTGGATTGTTTTGGAAAATTTTTGGCAAATTTGGAAATTTCGCACTTTGGGTTAAATTAAATTTTGCAAGCAAATTGGGCAGTTTTGCAAAATTATGTACTTTTGTGGCAAAGTTCTCGTACAAAACGATGATTTCTCGGTACGAAACGATGATCTCTCGGTACCAAATATATTCAGCAGACCTGTGCCAGACATATCCGTCTTAAATTATCTATGTTTTTGCACGTTTTTGCATTGACTGCAAGCATTCCGGTGCGTTTTGCCACGACATGTAGGTCAGGATCCATGACAACCTTGTGCAGAATCGATACTCATTTACCATTCCACCTCGATGCGCAATGTTGCATCCCTATGCTCGGAGCAGAAAGTCGGCGAAGAGGATTGCAGGACCCCGGTGGCCCCACTCGTGTGGCATATTCTGTAAATTTACTGTAAAGTTTTCTTCATTTCTCGGTACGAAACGATGATTTCTCGGTACGAAACGATGATTTCTCGGTACGAAACGATGATTTCTCGGTACGAAACGATGCTTTCTTGGGACGAAACGATGCTTTCTTGGGACGAAACGATGATTTCTCGGTACGAAACGATGATTTCTCGGTACGAAACGATGATTTCTCGGTACGAAACGATGATTTCTCGGTACAAAACGATGCTTTCTTGGGACGAAACGATGATTTTCCGGTAGGAAAAGAAGATAATGATTTCACGGCACAATTTGATGATTTCTCCGTACAATTTGATGATTTTCGGGTACACTGTAATGATCTCTCGAGAGAATTTCATGACGGCCCGGTACAATTTGATGATTTTCCGTTACAATTTGATGATTTCTCGGCACAATTTGATGATTTTTCTGCACGGTTTCATGTTTTCCGGATACGGTTTCATGATTTCTCGGCACAATTTGGTGATTTCTGGGTGAGAATTGATGAACTCCCGGGACAATTTGATGATCTTCCGGTAGGGTTTCATGATTTCCTGGTAGAATTTGATGGTTTCATAGTATTTTTTTGATTTCCCGGTAGAATTTTATGATTTCTCGGTACAATTTAATTGTTTCCAGGTAGAGTTTGAATATTTCTCGGTGCGGTTTGATGATTTCTTGGTAGAATGATGATTTCTCGTTATAATTTGATGCTTTCTCGGGGGAATTTGACGATTTTCTCGGGAGAATTTGATGATTGTTTCATGGTTGCGGTAAATTTTGATCGTTTCTCGGTTTAGCCCGATTGTTCCTTGGTACAATTTGATGGTTTCTTGCTACATTTTTTTGGGTCATACAGTTTTCGGGGTGGCTGCAGCTGTGTGTTTTTGGGGCGGCTGCAGCAGTCACCTCACCTGCAACTGCTGGATGTGGTGAGGAGTCATGGTAGCGTAGTCTAGTCGTAGTTGTATCGTAGTGTAGAATAGTCATAGTTTTATTTTTGAGCTGACGCTTACCGTTGGCTTCGCCGGACGACTCGGCCCCCGACTTTATCGCAGTGTGAGCTTGAAAGATATTGAATGAGGACCTGCTCTAGAAATATATTCCTTAGGTTGTTTGGAACATATTTGTTGGAAATAGACGTTTTTTTTGGGACGCAAGTGAGTTCCTGAAAGCTCCTGCGAAGGGTTTTCCTAAAGAACTGCTGCCAAATTAAAGTTGTTCCTTCGTGTAAGGGCGCCTATGTGCAAAGACTTCTCTGTGTAAAAACTTTTGTGTGTAAAAGTTTCCGTGTGTAGAAGTTTCTCCCTGAGTCTCCAAAACTAGTAAATTTACTAATTTAGTAAATTTACTAATGGGGAAGAATTTACGTAATTTTTTCTCCATTTTTCTTGATATTAGTAAATTTTGTGAAAAACGAAAAGTGCATCAAAAGTGCATCAAAAGTGCATCGACCGTACAGTTTTTTCTTAGCATTTTTGATTGATTTTTTGATTTTGTAACAGAAATGCAGCAGCATATTTTAGATTTAGTGAATGTCGTTTTAGTTCACAAAGTGACAATCCAATTTTTCCATAACAAAGAATTAGTTTTCTCACATACTCGTATGTTTAATGGATATGGCCAAGTAAAGCCAGAATCTTTGCAAGTGACCAGTCAAGTAAGGACTTTTTATAGATTACCAAAAGTAAAGTCAATATTCTAAAGTCAATACCATAAAGCCCAAGAACTCATGTAAATCTACCTGGTGACAATGAACCTGCAATTGAACTGAACTTGAAGACGATGCTTTTCTTGCCTATGAACTCGAACGACACTTTGGCCATTGATGCTTGCAAGCCAGAGGTACTGAAGAAAATGCTGCTGCCAAAGTTTTGGGCTGCATGTGCTTGAGACACGTTTCAAACAGGGAGATTTGTAAAGACTCATGTTTTTCACACCTACACTGCACTCAGTGAATTTTACTTGAGACTGCATCCAGTGAACTTTACTTGGGGCTGCATCCAGTGAACTTTACTTGAGACTGCTTCCTTTCTGAATTTTACTTGCGGCTGCATCCTGTTTCTTGGGACTGCACCCAGTGAACTTTACTTGGGACTGTTTCCTTTCTGAGCTTTACTTGAGACTGCATCCAGTGAACTTTACTTGTGTTTACTTGAGACTGCATCCAGTGAACTTTACTTCAGGCTGCATCCAGTGAACTTGACTTGAGACTGCATCCAGTGAACTTTACTTGAGACTGCATCCAGTGAACTTTACTTCAGGCTGCATCCAGTGAACTTTACTTGAGGCTGCATCCAGTGAACTTCACTTGGGACTGCATCCAGTGAACTTTACTTGAGTTTACTTGAGACTGCATCCAGTGAACTTTACTTGAGTTTACTTGAGACTGCATCCAGTGAACTTTACTTCAGGCTGCATCCAGTGAACTTGACTTGAGACTGCAGCCACTGAACTTTACCCAGGTCTGCATCCAGTGAACTTTACTTGGGACTGTTTCCTGTCAGAGCATTATGTGAGACTGCATCCAGTGAACTTTACTTGTGTTTACTTGAGACTGCATCCAGTGAACTTTACTTCAGGCTGCATCCAGTGAACTTGACTTGAGACTGCATCCATTGAACTTTACCTGGGTCTTCATCCAGTGAACTTTACTTGAGTATACCTGAAGCTGCATCCAGTGAACTTTACTTCAGGCTGCATCCAGTGAACTTGACTTGAGACTGCATCCATTGAACTTTACCTGGGTCTGCATCCAGTGAACTTTACTTGAGTTTACTTGAGACTGCATCCAGTGAACTTTACTTGAGTTTACTTGAGGCTGCATCCAGTGAACTTTACTTCAGGCTGCATCCAGTGAACTTTACTTGAGGCTGCATCCAGTGAACTTTACTTGAGACTGCACCCAGTGAACTTTACTTGAGACTGCTGGTTCCTTTCTGGGCTTTGCCTGAGACTGCATCGAGTGAACTTTACTTGACACTGCACCCAGTGAATCTTGCTTCAGGCTGCATCCAGTGAACTTTACCTGAGACTGCATCCAGTGAACTTTACCCAGGTCTGCATCCAGTGAACTTGACTTGGAGCTCGCCGCATACATTTTTCAAGATTTTTTTGACAAATATTTTCTTTTTTTAACAGAATTCATTAAAAAAAGTTGACGCACTTTTGAAGCACTTTTGACGCACTTTTGATGCACTTTAAAAAAGTGCATCAAAACTGCACCAAAAGGCGGCAAAAGTGCATCAAAAGTGCATCAAAAGTGCATCAAATTTAAAAGTGCATCAAAAGTGCATCAAAAATGCATCAAAAATGCATCAAAAGTGCATCAAAAGTGCATCAAAAGTGCATCAAAATGGATCAAAAGTGCATCAAAAGTGCATCAAAAGTGCATCAAAAGTGCATCAAAAATGCATCAAAAGTGCATCAAAATGGATCAAAAGTGCATCAAAAGTGCATCAAAAGTGTATCAAAAATGCATCAAAAGTGCATCAAAAATGCATCAAAATGGATCAAAACTGCATCAAAAGTGTACAAAAGTGCATCAAAAGTGCATCAAAAGTGCATCAAAAATGCATCAAAAATGCATCAAAAGTGCATCAAAAGTGCATCAAAAATGCATCAAAATGGATCAAAAGTGCATCAAAAGTGCATCAAAAATGTACCAAAAGTGTATCAAAAAGTGCATCGAGAAGGCATCAGTGGTGCATGATGCTTTTAACCGGGTTCAATCATCTTTATTAAAATGCATCGAGAAGGCATCAGGGGTGCATGATGCTTTTGACCGGGCTTCAATCATTTTTATTAAAACCTTGCAAATCATTAAACACAGGTCCAAAAAAATATCAAGATGGAATTGAAAGTGGGGCCATGGTCTCAATGAGACTTCATTGATGTATCTTTTGAAGCCAGCCAAGGGCTGACTAGAATTTCATCCAAACCTTCTCCAAAGTATGTCATACATTATCACAAATACAGTCAGCTAAGTATCATCCCATGGGCAAACGTTTATATTGATCAAGGTTTCTAACAAACAATCCTGAACTTGTTTCTATTGCCTGGAAAAACAAACTATGATATGGTTCTCATTGCTATGATACTTCATCAGGTTTTATTTTATAGTAATTTTCTTTAATTTTATTCCAAAGAAAATTGAAATCAAGATCCAATGTAAGTTCCTTCTGTGGATTCATCTATGCTTATGTAAATTCTGTTTATGTGCATCTTGTGCAACAGGCAGCTCCAAAAGTAAATTCCTTATGCCAATCCACCCTTATTTTTCAGGTTTGTTTTTTGGGTACCCATTAGTTAATGTACAAATATAATACATAGAGTAAATCCCAAATAGCATTTTATAAAACTTAATCATGAGAAGTAAGTTGAATTTACATTTGTTGCTGAGCAATGTTTTGCTACCCACTGCAGTGCACCAAGAAAAGATGCATTGTCTCTGATTCCATGTCAGGATTAGATATTTTGCATAATTCGATTTTCCACCAGGGGCCTAGATCTCATGTAAATCCAACCACAAAATCACAACATCCCAAGTAAATTCTTTGTCACAAACCCGCAAAGCTCGCGTAAAATCTCCCACAAACACATCTACAAATCTATCACAGCATAACCCATCTCAAGTAAATTCTCTGATGGAAACATGTCTAATCTTTCCCAACCTCACGAGTTTCAAGAAAATTCTTTGTCAGGCACTAGCCAAAAAACAACATCAAAAATGCAACCCCCCCAAAAAAGGTTGGATTAGTAAATGCATTTACTAACGTTAGTAAATCAATTTACTAACGTTAGTAAATTTTACTAACGTTAGTAAATTTTACTAACGTTAGTAAAAATTTACGTAAATTCACGTTAGTAAATCCCAAAATTTACGTAAATTTTTGGGCACCTAAATTTACTAGTTTTGGAGACTCAGGGCTGGGTGTAAAGACTTCTTTGTGTAAAAGCTTCCTTCTGTGTGGAAGCTTCTCTGTGTGAAGGCGCGTCTGTGTAGAGATTTCTCTGTGTGTAAAAGCTTCCGTGTGTAAAAACTCTTTGTGTAAAGGCTTCTCTGTGTAAAAGCCCCTGTGTGTGTGTAAAAGCTTGCTGTGTGTAAACGCTTTTGTGTGTAAACGCTCCTCTGTGTAAAGGCTTCTCTGTGTGAAAGCTTCTGTGTGCAAACGCATCTGTGTGTAAAAAAATCCTTTGTGTAAAGACTTCTCTGTGTAAAAAAATCTGTGTGTAAAAGCTCCGAGAGCAGTAGTAGTATACTCGTTCCGATAGTAATTAGTTGTAGTTGCAGTTTGCTTCGTAATGCGCTTCGCGACGCATTTTGAATATCTTCAAGTTTGCCTTTCGATCCTCTTAGGCCACACCAGATTGGGAAAGCACATCGTGTTTCCTACCTTTTTTTTATAGATCATACCTTGATCTTGTTTCTTCTGGCTCTTTCTCTCTTCCAATCTTTTTTCTTCTATTCTTCTCTCTGATCCCTCCCACCCATGCTTCTTCATCTGCCCACATTGTCGAAAGATTCGCTTCTAAACTCCCTTTGATCATAGACCGGTTTTGATTCACCCTTTCACCGAGTTCGCGAAGCATTCGTAGATTTAGAGAGAAGAGTTTTTCATTCACGTGGGCAATCAAGCGGAATAATGTAATTTCTTTGTTCTGCCATGTGCCATGAGGTACAGGAGTTGGAAGACTACTGCAGTCTCAAGCACGCTGACCTGGACCAGGAAGAGTTGCATCTCAGTCCTGACGGAAGCTTGAAAGTCTTGTGGTGGTCCATCCGGTCAGATGATTTTCACCTCGTGTTTACACACGTGGCCGTGCTCTACCGGATTGCGCAGGCCCTCAAGTCATCCTACGACGATGACGTGCCAGGATTTGTGCTGCAGACCGATTGGTCGGGCGGCGTTGTGTGGTCTCAATATCATTTTGGTGCCGTTGGACTTCCACTTTATCATCGAGACAACGATCGGGACAGCGCAGATGGTGCTAGGCGCTGGAGGAGGTTATGCGCACCCCTCGCGTTTTGCATTGGGGCCTGGGAAGACCCGCCGAACATCAGCCTGATGTTTGTGTGGTGCGAGCGGCTCCTTAGACATCTTTTGACCCACAACGGCTTGAATCATCCAGAGCCGTTGATATCCCAAATCTTGGGCGACTGGAGTTTGAGTCTACGGAAGGCAAGCGCTCCAGTCACTTCGAACCTCATCAATGACCTTGAGCACATCACCCGCAGAATTGAGAGGAGAGAAGATTTGCCGTGGTCGAAGGCACATGTCCATCATCTTTTGAGGATGGCAGCTTTTTGTCCTCACGGCGCAGTGGTGGCAGTTTGCTGGCATTATTTGTTGCGTGAGGCCCCAGAGACGTTCTGCAAGCACATGACAGAAAATGTGATGAAGCACATCACACCTGGCAGACGAGCTGGCCAAGATTTCCCAGTAAGTGATATGTGGATCCCAAGATTCTGGTCCGGTTCCTTTTCCCCTGCACGTCCCGGCAACAGTTGCTCTCAGCAAGGGGCAGAATTGATGATCAAGACGATCAAATGAGGAAAGGAAAGGAAAAAACAAAGGGAAAAAAAAGGGAAAAAAAAGGAAAAAAACGAGGAAACAAATAGGAAAAGAAAGGAAAAAAAAGGAAACAAAAGAAAGGAAAAAAAAGGAAAAAAAAGAGGAAAAAACAGGAAAAAAAAGAGGAAAAAAAAGGAAAAAAAAGAAAAACACATAATACGTGGGTAAAACTCTTACGCAGCTAGTTTTTATTTCGTGGCAAAAAAAAAATACGTGGCTAGAGAATCCTGGAAAATTTACGTGGCTAAGAAAGGCTGCCTTCATGGGCTTCATCACCGCCTAATCATGTTTTGCCGCATTTTTTTGCCTGGAAATGAGACTCCTTATGCGCTGAGAACGATTTGTGGGGGTTTCAGAAGCGAGGTTTCGTTGAGCATGGCATTGCCCCAGGCAATGCATCCGCACGGCGATGGAGATTCGACAAAAGCGGAGGTTCCATGGCTTTGTTTCGGTGCTGAAAAATATGCCTGAGGTGTTCCAACATATCCAAATACTATAGATATTCTGGTGTTCAAAGATGTTGAAACATGTTGAAACATCGAAAAATGGCATGCTGTAGATTCCATTTCAGAGATGACGGCCGTGTCAGGAAGGAGGAGGAAGCTCTGCTGAGTCGCAGCATTCGAGTGGCCCCGGAGGCGGCACCTGGGTCCCCACCATGCGTTTTGAGCGCCGGGAGTGTGTCAGATGTGTCAGGTGTTGCCACCGGACTGCAAAGTCTTCAAGTGGAATCGCGAGAGATGGAGTGATCCAAGGTGCAGCTGGAGTTCCAGCCAGCATGTCACGCATTGCACGTTGCGATCTATGTACTTTTGCATAGAGTCAATCGCAACGGGCTTGCCCAAAACGGAATTTATCGGAATTTATCCAATCTTACGAAGAAACGAGTTCTAAGGGAAACATCACGTATGATTTTCACATTTGTGTTTGTCCGAAAATTCTGAGAACACCCATCAAAGAAACATAAATCCCATGGTTTCAAAAATCATAAAGTCATCACGAAGATGGAGGGAACCTTTGCAAGAAAACCATGGTATTGATTGGTAAAGCTTATGATTTCCTGTAGATTAACTGACTATCCCAATGATTTCACCAAATAGCAGCCGATCGAGGAGGAAAGTTCAACATGAGCTCACCAGGCACCGTTATGGATTGGTTACGCTTTGGGGATTCCTGACCTAGCTGTTTTATTTTGGGGGGGATTATGATTGCTTATGATAAGCCGTTACCTTGGGATACCTATTGACCAAACAGTTTCATGACAGTTTTAACAAAATGCTAGACGGGTATTTTTTTACGGGCTGCGACATTGACCGCTGTCCAATTGACCAAGTGCCTCTGATTTCAGGCAACCTTTTGGACGAGAACTGTGGCTACCTATGGGTTTGAGACTTTGGGGGTAAACCACCAAAATCATCCGAAATCCTTGGACTGTCGGTGGGCTGTGTCAGACTGCGTGCCAGGCCTACTCCCTGGGAAAAAATGGAGTTACGAAGCTTCATTGAAAAGAAATGTGAGAAAAAACAGCTCAACAAGGAAGACGTCCAGGCCCTGGCCAAGGACATGGGGACATGCGACCAATGGGTGGGGATGCAGCGGACCCCAATGGGGAGACTGGCGGATGTCTCAAGGAGCTGTCAGAGAAAGGCCTCGAAGAATTTGGACGCTTCTTGAAGAGCCACGAAATCTTTGAAGGGAATCCCTGGGAGGCCAAAGTCGCTGTCAAATCGCTATGAAGGTTTTTCAGATCTGTTTCAGAATTTTGAAGACTTGGGCTGACGACTGGGGTACTAAGTCTCCAAGCAGCAATCCTCAATGTTTCGTCTTTTGATTAGCTGGTAAGCTTTTGCGATGTTGGTGGCATTCTGGGACCATTGCCATAGGTGGCTTTTGAATCTGGAAACGAGGTCGTGATCGCATGTGAATTTATTGCATTTACTTCTGTCTCCTTTTGGTTCTGACACCATCAAATCTAGAATCTGAATGAATCATTATTCATTATTATGCTACCCGAGTGTTTTGCTGCATTGGTTGTTTTCGATTGATCTCTTGACCCCTGGCCAGGAAACTTCTCAGGATACCTCAGCACTTGGAATGAGCCTCAGGCTGCACAATGAGAAGAGTGGCCAGGCAGGAAAGGTGAAGCCGACTTGAGGACCATTGCAGGATTTCCATTGCAGGAGGATTGCAGGATATTGCAGTTGGTTCCCCAATCCCAGAAGTACCTGAGACAACTGCCGCATCGTCCCATTTTGCCATATTTTGCCTCCCCAAGCTTTCCTCAGAGGTTTGGTGAAAACTTATCATCCGTGAATTTTGGGGGATGCACACACAGAAATCCTCATCAATCCCGGCGGTGTGAAAAGCCCGGGGCTTCTTCGCGGCTTCGCGTGCGGGTTTTGCGCAGGCAGAGGTCCAAGTGCATCCCCTGGAGAGCTTGCGTCAGGACCCAGAGGCCTTTTGATTTGTCCAAACCTTTCATCAAACTTAACTTTGGGTTCTATCCAGACATATCCAGACATATCCAGACTGATTGGGGCTATTTTTGTGCTGGTGAGTAGTTATATCAGTTGTATCACATCCTTTTTGTCACTCCGCAACTCCAAGGAAGGTTTTGGTGGCTTCAACAGCCCCCGGGTCTCACTCTAAAGGTTTCAGCACCGCTCGGCAGAGCATGATGGAGACAACCAATTCGGGATGTGATAGCGACACCACAGAACCATCCACCCGGGATCACAGGTATCACACAACCACTTCAAGTAGGGCCAAGTAGGGCCAAGTAGGGGCTGCTGCCTACACCACTGCGATCTTGGTGATCTTGGCAGGCAACGATGCCGGCGGCCGCTGTGAGTAATTTGCTCTTGCAACTCGATTGAGATGGGGACATCTTTTTATTTATTTTCACTGATCTGGCAGCATCCAAGTGCAGAAGCACGCAGAACACTAATAGAAACGCAGGTGAAGCGAGTGTATCAGAGAATTTCCCTTTCAGAAATGATGGCAAGTGCAGAGGATGTAGAGGTCTTCTGAGTTCACATCTCCTACATCTCCTGGGAATGGGACTTCCCTGCGGCCTTGCAGCGCCACCATCCTTGCAGCGCCATGAGGCAGCTGGAATGGCCTCGATATGACGACGACTTCCTGGAGAAGCCAGCCTGACTCAGCTGTGGAGAGTTGCACCACCTGGGATGGTAGAAAGATGTAGAAAGCCTATAAATCATGGGATAAACATGGGATAAACCACCAACTGGTGCAGGATTTCGCAACCATCCACAGCATGGTTAGGATAAACAAGGCAGACATGGCAAGACATGGCAAGACATAGGCAGACTATGGCAGCCCCTGAAATGACTTTGCTTCAAGGCTGTTCGAGGCTGCCATGTTGATCATGTTGGATGATTTTCACCCACGAACCCAGGGGATGGGTCATTAACATGTCATAACTTAACCTCCACATTATGACACCACTTTTGAGGGGAGACCGTTTGGCAACATCAAAGACTCAATTTGGCATTTCTAAAAACTCAGAATATCTCATAATCTTGGCATGTTCTGAGCCGAATAGGCGTATTGCGGAGCTGTACGACGACCTACGTCGTGCAGACTTCCAGGGAGACAAAGAAGCCGTGGCAGGGGCTTCAGCGGATGTGCCAAGCAGATCCCATGGGTGGTCCACCGCTGGTCCCATGGGTTTTTCAAGGTGAAGACACAGTACGGTACTCTACTAGATTTTACCCTCTGGTTATTTAACATAGCCATGGTACAGATGGCCCATTTATAGATGGTTTATCTATAAAAAATGGTGATTTTCCATGGCTATGTTAAATAACCAGATGGTAGATGATTTGAGTATAGTATTATAGTACATTGAACATAGGCAGTGTATCATGAGCTTGCCACCAAGATTCTCAAAACTAGCGGAAAAATCCAAGCCAACCTTCAAGACATATTCTTGCAAAGCCGGGAGAATCATAAGCGGAAGGCTTTTCAATCCTTTCAGTATCGAAGACGGACATGGAGGTTTCCTACAATGGGGGCATCCCCAAAACCAGAGGTTTCAATACAAAAATGGGTTGAATTTTGGATGATTTGGAGATCCTCCACAGGAAAAAAAAGCCCCATGAATATTTGGTTGCCATTCATGGCGATGTCGATACTTAAGCCCAGGTCAAGTATCGAACCCAGGCATTGAGGTTGGAAGGTGGGGGCCTGTCCGCAGACATAGCAGGTCCTTGTTTCTCATTTTTCATGGAGCAACGTCACCACTTCTTTGACATGGAAAAAAGCAAAGCATCATGAAGACAGCAGACAGCATTCTCGCAGAAACGAGCCAATATCGGGCAGGTGCGAAGAGCCTCAAAGAGCACGTAGAGTTGAATCGGAAGGCGCCACTCATCCCATGCCAAGCATATGGTTCGTATATCTGAGCACACACACTGGAAATACCCCAAAAACTGAGACAAGACATGGTGGTCAACAGGTGAAAGCATCGTTTTTCGGTATGTCAAAAAAGGTGTTGCATCACGTTACATCGATAGCTTTCAGGGACTGCAGCACTTCCGTCGAATGGTCGAAATATCTCGACAGGAGACAGGCAAGGTCACCGAGAAAGGACGCTTTGATGTTTTTCCTCAGTGGCACCTGGCATGTTAACACAGCGGCTTCGTGTGTTTTTCACGACAGGTTCGCACACTTGGAGGTTTCCGAAAAAAGGGCCCCACATCATCCAGTCACTAGACCATTTTTACTATTGAATATAGTATTGAAACCCATGGTGACCCGGGAGTAATCCATTGTCTGATCCCCCCACTTTTTTTTTAAATCTCTGCCTGGAACGTTCCGTTCGGAGAGTGTGTTTGTTTGATTTCATTTGGATCGCGCAAAAAATCTGCCAGATCTGCCAGGACAGTCATACGATCCAAGCGCCAGATAGATGAAAGTACAGGGCGCATTGTTTTGAAGGCTGATGGGGATGGGTCAAGTCCTTTTTTTTTCGCATATTTTGGGGGAATCAATGGCAATTTATAGTGGATTTACCCATTAAAAATGGTGATTTTCCATAGCTATGTTAGTTTACCAGAGGGTATTCACATCCATTAACCAGCTATGATTTAGGGTACCATGGTAGGGTTAGCATCAGTATCATCCAGTATCATCCAGTTAGGTCTCGCCTGCTATGCTTCGCGATGGCAGGTGGGTATGGATCTGCGCAGCACCAGTATGGGAACCATTCGACGGGGTGTCGCGTAGAGTCTGCGTTTCACTGGCAGAAATCTCATGGGATCTCTGTACCGTTTCACGTAGCTCGTGTTTCACCTGGAGAAAATGCCGCAGAGTCCACTACTAGCTGGTGGTATGCTGAGTTGGACCACAGGCATGAATTGGAGTCCTCCCAAGAATTGGAGGCTTAATGCTAGTTATGGTTTATATCATGAGCTTAATAGTTCTTTTCTTTAATGAGTTAAATGTTTAATATGGATTAATGCCCTGGATTCTATTCTCAGTCTGAGCTCGAGGTATTTCTTGTCAGCTTTCTCCGCCCAGCTATGCCTCAGAGCAGTTTTGTGCTACTCAACTCCTCCAAATTTGAGATGCAAACCTCCGTGAATTGGGCCAAGTCCGTCATGTATTCATAATACCACTGCATGCCCTTCCAAGTTCGCCAATCTCGTGCTGCTCCTTCAGTTCTGGAACTGAACACATGATGAGCCTAGCAGACATAGCAGAGAAATCGTTATGCAATTTTTTTCAAACAAAGAGACTTTGTATGGCTTAGGATCACTGAAGACCAGCTAGACTCGAAATGTTGAGCAGACGCAGAGATATCACAAAGGGATACATCGACCAAAAACCAGTAGAATCAGTAGAATTTAGTGTGCTGGTACGGTCAGATGATGTCAAATGATGTCAGATGATGTCAGACAAGGTCACATATCTCAGATGACTGGTAGATCTGGTAGCACCTTGGTTTCGAGTGTCGATGGGTAAGAAAGGTGTGTTACAAACTGATCAGTCACCGCTTCCGAGTGCCGACTTGGCGCCATGAGTGTTTTCTACTGGACCATTGCTGGATATATCCTGGTGGGCGGCGGTGGTGTTGGTGTGTCCGGCTTGCATTGAAATCATCTACTGGATCTTTGAATCTGCAGAAAACTGCCGGACATACATTAGTACAGAGTTCCATCACACCATGCATCAACCGTTCATTTTGCCACAAGCGTTTGGAGAAAACTGCTGGGTTCAACGACTGATAACTACTGATTAGCTACGGTAGCACTTTCCTGATCTGCCAGGTGTGTTTCTCTGGGGCAAGGAACATGGCGATTCCATCTTTGACCGGTTATACCGGATCTTCTGCATGCATCTTCCAAGGCTGCTGAAGAAGGTGGGATAGAAAGGCGGATTTTTCTGTGTCTGGAAATGTTTTTTTTTTTCCTGCTACCCTCTGGTAAACCTACAAAAAAAGTATGGAAAACGACCATTTTTAATGGATAAATCAACTATTTCTATGGCCATTTTCCAGTTCGCAAACTGTGAATGTCATTACCAGAGGATATACTCCGCATAAAAATGTTCCAAATTTAGGGATTCTCCTAACTTTTTCAGACACACCCAGATTCGTTTGCGATGGGACATGGTGGGGCTTGGGACTGCATCACGAAGTCGATTGGTGGTCGAACACATTGCATCACGAAGCGTCCATGTGGAGTCAAATATGATGTTAAAATTTGTAATTATAATATATTTAACATATACATATAATATACATAGTATAATGTATACATACTCTACAGTATGGATTTCTGAAAAAGTATACGTATTGTCAATATTGTATCGTATTATATCATGTGGTATGAAATCACATTACATCACACTAAAAATCACAGACAGTAGCAGTAATACAGCAGTGATAAAACAGGAAAGTCGTTTTTTATTTCACCTAGCTTGGCAACTTTGTGAGCATTTCAACCATTCTAACCATTAAAAAAAGCATCTTCCTGCCTCAACAAACAGATCGAAAAATGAATTGGATCATGGGGCGGCTGGGGCCGCTGAAAACCGGTTCCCAGGGCCTTGAGAAATGCTTTGGAAAGCGAGCGCCCGCATGTTTAGATGCAGCCTGGGTCTATGTCTGCTACACCAGTCCCTTGGTTGAGTTTTTTGGAAAAAAATGGAAACACCTGGGAGGTTCTGGGCAGATTGTTGTCAAGATATTTCAGGAAACTTCGGACAGAGACCAAGACAAGGTTCATTGGCGGATTTCTAATAGTGACCAGAATCCACGGATGTTCTGTGCCGTACCAATTATAATAGTGCGGCGAATGCGCTGCACCTATTTTTGCGCACAACAGAAAAAAGGCCGTCGCAGCTTGTGACAGAGATCTCCAGGATGCCCGGGAGATTTTGTGGCTTTAAAATCTTTAAACGGACACAGACAGTTCTTCCAGTGGACCTCATTTCTATCCCATGGGTCCCATCTCAACTGACGCAAACTCCATGCGCATGCCGACACCTTCTCTTCAGGCAATCCGTTAGTACAGCTCTTCTACGTCGGGGGAGCTCAGTGGTGTCGGAGTTATTTTTTCTATTTATTTTGCAGTGGGTCAGATTCAAGCAAGGAGAATATGATAGAATATGTATATCTCTATATACATAGTATATATATAATATATATATATAATATAATATAATATAATATAATATAATAAAATTCTTGAAATTCATCTCTCCTAGGATTTTTTTGCCCAAACCTTGGATCTATTTGGCCCCCATGCTTTGCACAACTTTGATGTCATGTGTTGCAGTTGACCATATAATATAATATAACATAATATAATATAATATAATATAATATAATAAAATTCTTGAAATTCATCTCTCCTAGGATTTTTTTGCCCAAACCTTGGATCTATTTGGCCCCCATGCTTTGCACAACTTTGATGTCATGTGTTGCAGTTGACCATATAATATAATATAACATAATATAATATAATATAATATAATAATATATATATATGTATTAATTATATATTATACATAAATATATGACACCATCAATCAATGACATCAAAGGTATCCAGGTATCGTGCCATCCCCCTGGATGAATTTTTCAAGGGCAGCCAGCCGCTACCAAGTTGCTGGTGGTGGTGGGCGGCTATGCGACCTTTGTGGCATACAGCCATCCGCATTTGCCGAACAGGCGCAGATGTGCAAAATTGTGCAAAATTGTGCAAACTTGTGCAAATGGTTTTGTCTGAGTTTTCAAGCTACTCTCAAGTCCAATGGATTATGATGGTGATTTGTTTTTGATTATGATATGATATCCAATAACAAATTAAAGTTTATTCCATTAAATTTGTTATGACTGAAATGGCTACAGAAATGACATCCCCCAGGGAAAGATGATGAACACAGCCAAAAAAATGAGCCAAGGGTACTTACTTAATCCGCTGACGTTTGACTAAGGTTCATTGGCAACATCCACAAGTACATCGGCTTTATCATCTTTTCCCTCTGCTTAGCCGTTTGGTGGAGAGCATGCACAGTCGGGACGCCTAGAGTGCCTAGAGGCTTTTTCCGAGTGTCAAGTTGGGCGACGGGCTGCGCGTTGACCAGGGATCTGGCGACTGAACCTCCAAAAATTTCTGGAAGAACCTAGATTCCAGGTGCTTTGATCAAGAAACGCACTAAAAACAAGCTATCCAGGAGCGCACAGGCCATTTTTTTTGGGATCACCTTGGCCACTGACACAGAGCCCATCCCCGTGCTCCGGATTTGTCCGGATCATGTTCGCCTCAGACGGATCCTGGCACCATCACGGATCGGAATGTGGAGAAGATCTGCGACCAGTGGCAGGCGGGAGTTTTGGCCAAATTTGCTGGACAAAATCAAAAAAAAAGGATGGACAAAGGTGTGAAAAGCGAAAAGAAAAACGACATGATTCGAAGACAAAACTCTGGTTGGTGGTTTGGAACATGGCTTTCATTTTTCCATATAGTGAAACCACCAACCAGATCCTTTTCGTCTAGCCGTGAAGCTCTTTGAGTTGCGATTTCCTTGCGAACTTCACACTGCGCAGTGGGACGAGCAGATCTTTCACATGGCACACTGTCGATCCTGCGACCTCGTTAAACCCGCGCGCTCGAAGCATTGCTCCTTATGCCAGCGCTGTGTGGCGAGGCTCGGCTGTGAGTCGAATTGCAGGAACCATGGAAAATTTGAAGAAATACATCAATTTTTTCATAGAATCAGAAAGAGGGGCGCCAATTTTCAAGGATTTATCACATTTATCACTATTTTTTCTCCCAAGTAATCAACAGAGCTTCTTAACCTAGGGTTGATATTAAAGTACAGGAAGTACCTGTACAGCAGTTCTTCTTGACTTGGCCTGGTACATCGATACTGACCCTGCGAGTGAGCCTGGGAAAATGAGTCGCAACAGCTCTGCAGGTTCGATCATCATTGCATTTGGACGCTTTGCCGCATTTCCGCGAGACCTGCAGGTTGAGACCTTGCAGTGGATGCCTTGAGGGTCGTAATTTCCGAAAGACCGTTACAGGTCAGGGACAAATCGCATCAAAAATGGTTCCAGTTTGTGCCACGGTGTCACAAATCGCGCACGTTTGTGCATCAGCATCCCGAAGGGGGTCACCTTCTCACCTGAGGATCAACAACTGTGTGGGCGTGGGAAATCATCGCTACTTTCTAGGGCAGCTAGGCTGGCAAAAAGGGCCAAGGTTGGAGATGAAATGAGGGATGAAGATGAAGTATTGCAGCTAGTGCCAACTTTTATCAACTTTTAAAAGGCTGGATCTTGCACTGGCATCTCTGTTCATGGAATAGCGGAGCAGCTTGAAGCATTTGACCCTTGAGTAAACTTGAAAGTTGAGCTCAGGGTGAACTTTGGTGCCTCCGCAAACCAATTTTTCTTTACGAAACCTGATTTTTCAGATATTTTTCAGCCTGGTGCATTGATGCGTTTTCTATTTCTGACTTGAGGTTTCTTGGCATACACTTGGTCATTTGCTTCTATGGCTTTGGTCTGACTGCAACCATCCTCTACGAAATCATTGTGCGACCCTCAGGAGGATGAGACTGAACCTCCACAGACAACAAACTCCTGAAAGGGCTGAAAGAAGCAGAGGTCAAACTTATAATATATATAATATATATATATATATATAATCATCTAACCAAGTTCCAATAGTTCCGTTTTTTTTTCTAAACAGATATTTTGGAACCTGATTTTGGTTTTCATCCAGTGAACAAAAACCTGCTGGTTCTAGACAAACCGATTCGTTGCACGCACTGGTCACTGCCGAGGTCAGTAAAGACCTTCTCTCTGCAGTTTTCGTGAAACCCGACACGCGGGACACCGAATTGGGCGAAGGGGCGACCGAATTGGCCGATGATTCCCCTCTGGTAAACTAACATAGCTATGGAAAATCGTCATTTTTAATGGGAAAATCCACTATAAATCACCATTTTCAATAGCTACGTTAAATTGCCAGAGGGTATGTCAATGAGCAGCGCAATTTACCGCAGTTAGTGGTTCCTAGTGTGCAATTTGGGGAGAAATTCAAGGAGGCGGCCTGTAAAAAACACCTACCCTCTGGTAAACATACAAAAAACTATGGAACATCACCATTTTCAATGGGTAAATCCACTATTTCTATGGCCATGTTCAATAGCCATGTTAAATTACCAGAGTGTAAATATGCATCAGACTTAAATGTTGGCTCCAAGTTTTGATGGCTCAGATACCCCGAATGAATCCACTGCTGCAATTTCACTGTCGCAGAAACTGGGCTGGGAGGGTGATGGTTTCAGCCTGGAAGGAGCGCTTTACGGCGACCAAGTTGATGGTTGGTCAGTACTTGCTGGCGACAGAGGTTGGATCTTGATGTTGCCCATTCTGTTGGCAAATGATGGTGATATAAATGCGATATATATATATAATATGTATATAGGACACATATGACCTATATGACCTGTATGTCCTGTATGTCTGCAATTTAGGGAACTTCTTGGAACATGGGAGTTTTGGATTGAAAGTAAGTTCTTCAGGGCAGCATTTTTCATCAAGCTCGATTTGAGAAAGGCATCTCCTTGCAACGAGGATTCACATCAAGCTTTCTCAGCAGCTAGACACCTAATGATCGGGATTGCCATGTGGCCAAAACATCAGGGCATGGTGGTCTTCATTTGCGTGCTATGCTGCATCATGGGCATCGTCCTCTTCGGCTTCTTTGGCTGGCACCTGTATCTTGTTCGTTCAGGCGCGGGGATAAGACTTCTGGAGGGTGCGGTGAGCCTCCTAGAGCGAGGATAATTCAAGACTAAGGCAAGCATTGATGGATGGATATGTAGATGAAGGATGACTTGTTCCAATTGCAGCCTTGGGAGATTGCTTTGGGTTTGTTTTGACGGGAACAACTGAACCCCCAAAAAACTGGTGCTTTCAAACTGCATCAAACCATATCGCTGTTGTAGAGCAAGTTGACATGGAACCGAACACAAGCGTACATATCGGCAGACATATCAGATACATGATGCATACATACACAATGTATCATGTACTGTATATAAGTATATACATGAAGTTGCACATTGACATAATATAATAATTGATAAACATACATATGCATGTCGATGTATCTATTCTCAAGCCCAAGGTGTCTCAAAAACCAGTCGAATGTATCTAAGAGAAAAGCTGGAGTAGTTGACTCCGGGTCGCGCGGAAGATCAGCTGTTTGAAGCGACATTTTTTGAGTCGTTTTTTGCATCCTCACCTGTCAACATTGCACCATTTTGCTTCAGGCACTACAACCAATGAGCTGAGCAAGTGGAGCTATCTCAGAATGTGCTTGAAGCATGTGCCCTGGGAAAATGGCGAAATCGGTTGTAGACAGCCGGCTTCACCGACTTTCATCATTTTCGGGTTTACGATGATGTGAATTTAATTTGAGTCGCTGGTTCGCTTTCGGTTGGTGATACTTCTGGATGCGAAGTACGCAATCATATTGGAACAACCAGTACCGATGCTGAACTCCGGAGTTGGGCGCAAATGCCGGAGAAATGAAGGTTTTTTGTTTTTGTTTTTTACGTGAAAATAAAGTGCCATAAACGATCGCAACTTCATGAGATGATTCACCATGGGATTTTGGGGTTCGGCCAGTGGCCGCGGTGACAAACGGCAGTGATTGCCGGCCTTTTGTCACCGCAACATATTAGATATTGGGATGGACAAGCCAATGATGTTCGCCTCAATGTGACGCCGATGTGGCGACTTTTTGATTCTTTGCTTCCCAGGAAAGACTATCAACAAACACACTAGCAAGACTATGGGAGAAAGATAACTTTATTCCCAGGAAATGTCCAGTTGCCAGGGGTTCCAAAATTCAGGAGGGCGAGGAAGGAAAGGAGAAGATCAAACTGTTGAACAACGAGTACAATCAGGCTGGAGCTGGTTCAATGTTCTCAGCGGGCAGAATCTGCACACGGACTGACGACATGCAATTGCACAACCCTAGGGGAGGACTTCGGGATGTGATGCGCAGAGAAAGGGGCATTGAACGAGAAATGATCACGTTTCTCAGTTGAGAGGGAGCACTACTTCTCAGTTTTGTTTGTGAAATTGGCAGAGGATTTGCAGCATTTGCGGCTCAAGAAAGCGTGAGCTCTTTGGTGTTTTTTTTCGTGAACATAGCTAAGCCCCTTTATGCCCCTTTACATGTGTCGACTCAACAGATACTTAAGATATGGGCTTTACGAATCTGACCATCCCGTGGATCTTGGCCGAAAGAGGATCCCGTTTGGATCCCTGTCGGTCTACAGTCTTCGGTTTTTTCGAAAGCTATAGCAGTCATAGCAGTCATAGCAGTCATAGCAGTCATAGAGAAGAGACTCAGACTGAGTACCTCAAAGTTGGTCCAGCGAAGGCTGAAAGTAAACTCGCTAGCCTCGCTCCCGACCTTCGGATTCCAATGGCATCTCAAATTGACGAGGAGCTGTGTGTGCAGGAAAGTGTGCACATAGATTGTTTGAGAAAATCACGCTGGTTTGAACATGTGACTTTGTTTGAAATGGGTTCTGCCCCCAAATTTCAATGGTGAAGAATATGTGACAATGATGATGAACTATGTTTATTTTGGGGCCTTTCCCAGCATTTTCAGACTAAGCTATGCCTGCAGAGCACGCCATGCCCAACAGCCGGCATTCCCTGGGCCGGTTCGGAAACATGATGCCAACGCTTGTTGTTGGTTGGCAGTCAGTTTCAAATGGAACAATGAAGAAAAATGGGGCCCGTCTCCGAATTTTGGTTGGCACTCCAGATCTCAACCTCAAATGATCTCTGAAGCACGCCAAACATCCTGAATACTTCATGATGTTTCCCACATCTACTGGACAATATGAGATTTACTACAATGTGCGCAAAGAATCTGGAAAAATCAGCATCTTTCGAAAAGGTCCCCGCGAAATGTATGCTGATGGTGTTTTGATATTTTCTGGTTGACTTTTCGCGGGACGCCTGACTTCACGCGTTTGAGCTGCGCACATGGGGATGTTTGACTTTAGACGGGCAGCCAAACAATTCCTCCATCCCAGCTGCTGAGGAGGATCATCCAACTTAATGGCTGGTTTTCATATCGGAAGTTTGAAATTCTTGGGATAACCAGAAAACCCTCGAAATGTATATACCGAATATAGAGTTAATATATATATATATATATATATCCTAATAGGTTACAGCCTCAGTAAACCAGTCGAGCCGTTGATCCTTTCATGTCATGACAGGGTCCACTTCGTCTGCCGGCAGACTTGCAGAGAACTGGAAGGCTGGGCTGCGGGTCAATCGGCCTTGGATTCAACATGATTTTCATACAGAAATTTAACGAACCACGGAACGAGCCAACGAAGCAACATGAAGCAACGAGAACGGGAAGATAAGGGGAACACACTTCCGCCAATAAGTATCATAGGAACTATTTTTTGCGGACATGCAAGCTAATGCACGTGACGAAATATAGTGCAAAGAGGACATGACTGACAAAAAGGAAGCAAACAAAATGATCAGACATGAGAAAATACCAGGAACGAACAACAGTGGAAGATGGAAGCTGATAAACATGGAAAAGGAGAAAAGTCGGAACCAGATAGAATGGGCAACACAAGCAACCAAACATGGGACCAACGAAACGAGAACTAGCACAGGGAATTTCAGAATTGGAGCCAACTAAAGAAAGTAAACAAAGTAACAAGGCTGACGAACACATGGTAAAATCGTACCCTAAATCACGGTGCAGCAAAAACAAGAAGCGACAGACTGGGAAAGATGATCAGGAACTGCCGCAGGAAATGCAGGAAACACAGGCTGGAGAAAAGTGGGAACCAATGAAAACAGGACATAGCAATAATGGAGACTACAAACCAATAGAATTGCGAACAAGGAAAAACAGGGGCCGAACAACGATGGACACAACCAGAGGCCAAGCGATTGAAACTGGGAGCCAATAAAAAGATGAATGAAACCAGCACACTTAGCAGCTAATGAGAATGGGAGGCGACAAGAAAAAACGCAAACAGCAGAAACAGCAGAAACAGAAGCTAAGTAACTATGGAAACCAACGAAAACTGGAATCAAGAGGAATGGATGGAAGGTAAATGAACATACGAATGCGAATGTCATATGGAGGGCCATGCTTTGACTGGCACCAAATCAATGACTTGCGCCCAGCTGTTGGTCGTGGATGTCACCATGTATACTTCCCGTCCAATTGAGAGAGAAGTAGAGTCTATTGGCATCTATTGTGAATCATGGGGTAAACCATGGGTACCCTCTGGTAATTTGACATAGCTATTGAAAATGGTGATTTATCGTGGATTTACCCATTGTTTGGTGATTTCCCATAGGTTTTTTGTATGTTTGCCAGAGGGTAAATCCCATTAAATCCCATTAAATCCCATTAGATCCCATTAAATCCCATTAGATCCCATTAAATCCCATTAAATCACCAGTAAACCACCATTAAATCCCATTCAACCACCATAAAACACCATAAAACCACCATAGTCCCATGGTTTTGTCCAGGTTTCAGGGCCAGAAGGGAAATCTGGACAGTGGCTCCAAGCCCAAATCGGAGCTGGCACAAGTGATGAACAAAGGCATCATGGAGCAGCGTCCCTTGGCGCGCAACGTGTGACTATCCCCAGCGATATCATGGTTATATAATGGTTATATACTGTAAATCTAAATATACTGTAATGATATTATTATTAATTATTGTTATTATGATATAATATAATATAATATATTATATTATATTATATTATTATACTATATTATATTATATTATATTATATTATATCATATACTATATTATACTATCTTATATTTTATTATACTATATTATATTATATTATAATATATTATATTATATTATATTATATCATATACTATATTATACTATATTATATTATATTATATTATACTATATTATACTATATTATATTATATTATACTATATTATATTATATTATACTATACTATATTATATTATATGATATGATATTATACTATATTATACTATACTATATTATATTGTACTACATTATACTACATTATACTATATTATACTATACTATATTATATTGTACTATATTATACTACATTATACAATATTATACTACATTATACTATATTATACTATAGTATATTACATCATATTATATTGTACTGTATTGTATTGTATTGTATTTTATTATATATATATATTATACAAGTTCTTGGCAGCGAATAACAATGCCTGGGATGGGACATCCTTTTTTGGCTGGGTAGCGAATCGCCGAGGTGAAAAAACGAGCATGTTGTCCAGGAAGTCTCCTCACAAGGCCGTGGGGTTGCGAGCAACACCTGGATCCGAAAAAGAAAGGAGTTTGGAAGCCCTAAGTTTTGATCGATTCTATGAAAGACATGTTTATAGGATGCTATAGATGATATTTACTTCATATTTCCAGGGCTCCCACTTTTCTATCTTTTCGGGGATTACTGTACAGGAGTAAGACACCAGCAGCAGCAACAGCGACTGCACGCACGACGGCGGCAGCATGGCAACCAGAACTAACACCACAGCAACACCAGCAGTAGCGACAACCTCAATAGCAACAAAAGCAACAAACATGTAATGAACAGCAACCATGACAAGAATGACTCAAGCAATTAGAACCATAGCAATAGCAATAAGAAAATAATATAAAATCAGCACACAAAAATAAGAGGAACAAGAAGCATAGGAACATCAAAAGAACAAGACAGGCGAAGAGCAAGAAAAATGGAAAAAACTGCCCCAGCGAGACTGAGAAGAACACTAAACAACAAGAAAAAGGCGAAGAAGAAGGAGAAGAACCGGAACCAGTAGAAGCAGAGGAAAACACACAGAAGAAGAAGAAGAAGAAGAAGAAGTAAAAGTAGAAGAGGGAGAGGAGCAGGAAAAAGAATAAGACGGGAAGAAGGAGAAGAAACATAAAGCATGAATTATGTATAGAAAATAAAGGAACGAATCATCCGAGAAACAAAGCGGAACAGAGAAAGAAGAGGGAGCACAGACAAAACATGATAAAACATGAGAACTACCCTCTGGTAAACTAACATAGCTATTGACAATTGCCATTTATAATAGATTTACCCCTTGTTTGGTGATTTTCCTATGGGTGCTTTGTATGTTTACCAGAGGGTATTGACCATGAACAGTCACTGGTTGCTGCGAATCGAGGCTGGCACAGGCTACGGGATGTACGGTGGTCCATGCAGACCAGCGAGTTGGTCCGCTTGCGAAACAGTTTCTAGGCACCAGTTTCCATGTCCTTGTTGGTAGATGACGAGGATGGACAAGATATAGGTGCAAAGAGGGTAGCCCAACTTTGAACCTTTTTTTTAGCAAGAAGACACAAACATTCTGGCGTCACACCCATCACATCAAGAAAAAGTGGGTCCTTTGTTTCATCTGAAGAAGGCCGGTGGACGAAGTACCCTTGGCTTTTGGGAGTCTGGTTTGGGACCGGAATCCCTTCACAAACGCAGGCGTAAGGTTTGGATCTCTATGCACATATCCACTATATGTAATTAGTATGTACATGTTTGTATTTAGTGAGTAGATGTTTTCATATGTTGTGCAGGGTAGTTCCTCATGTTTTTTGGATGTTTTTTTTTTGCATTTATTCCCCCTAAGACATCAACCCAACTTCAATTCCGATTGTGATCAATGAGCAAAAGACAACGTTATAGATAAACCTGTTGTGTTTCAGTAGAAGAGACCCAGAACTCCTTCTGCAGGGTACTCCCTGCAGCCTCCCGGCCATGATAACCAAGGCTTTAGTGCAGGGCCGAAAGGATTGGAAAGTCACCGAATCGGAACAGGCCAGGCTTGCGGTCCTTGCGGTCCACCCTGGATGAAACGGAATTTTCCACCGACAAATTGGTCGAGGTCACTACAGCGGAGGCCAAGCTTCATACCGACAAATTGGATCTTGGAAAGAAATACAATTGTCCCTTGGCTCACTTGGCTCCCTTGGCTCACTTGATGCTCTTGGCATTGGAACTCCCGCTGAACAGCGATGGGTCGTTGGCTCAAAGGTCAGTGATCCAAACTTGTAACCCATGTTCGGATCGTTTCTCAAAGCTCAACCCCACGCTGGACATTTCGAATCAATCGGACATGATTTGGTGGTTGTGCCGGCTTCAACCGTGGCCTGTTTATCGGAAGATTCTTGTCCCGATCCAGGTAAAATGAGTTCGCGATTCCAGCCCCTGGACCCCGCAACATCGAACTATTATTTCCAGTTGCCCACGACGCCGCACCATATCAAGTACAGCAACAACCAGGCGTGCTGTGGCCGCGAAC